ATCTGCCATGTTTGCATGTGCTACCGGGATATGGTACGACGTCAGCGTTTGACTGTAAGACAAATACAGTTGTACAAAGTCCTGACTGAGTATATACATATGTATCAAAACAAACCTCCCGCCCCCTCCCCCGCCCCCTGGCACTCAGCATTTACTCGTCCCGCCAGCAGCTAGCTACCTAGCTAGCTCGCTAGCTCCCCCAGCCTGAAAATCCTAGCGGCGAACCCACCCCTTCACCCGGTGTATCCCATCCAATAAAAAAAACACATATATATATATATACATATATATTAAAAATTACCTAAAAACATCCATCCGCATACAACTTGAGAAAGAAACAAAAAATGCATCATCATCAATCAGGCCTTGTTGGATGGATGGGGGATCCAGCAGGAGGAGCGTGGCAGAAGCATCGAAGCGATGAAAACAGTAGGTAGGTAGAATAGACTAAGAAATCGATAAGACGTCCACAGGAAAATAGTTCGTTACTCGGTTGGTTAGTTCGTGAAAATATGGATAAATTCACATGTACTTGTCTGTCTGCTGGAAAATGAAAAAATGAAAAATGATAGTCTTACAGATTTGTTGTTACTCGCTCGCCTCCATTCATCCATCCATCTATCCATCCAGCCATCCATCCATCCATCCTCCTCCTCCTCCTCCACCCAAGCTTGCCTATTTGTTTATTTATTTATTTACTCATTCATTTACTTGTTTGTCTATTTGCTTACTTGTTACTGTAATTAGCAGAAACCTCGCTCGTACAGTAGCAAGTTCCGGAATCTGCAAGGACTCGGGACGCAAGGGCTCCTTTTTCTGTTACTTGCCTACGTACCTATAGTTAGTTATGCGAGGAGGAGGTACCTACAGTACAGTACAGTACAGTACAGTAATGGAGTGACGTTAACTTCTCGCGCGGCGCGCTTGGCCTTCGTTGCTGGCATGCTATTGCTACCTACCGGTATTGCTATTGCTATTGCTGTGCGCTTCAGCAGGGCCGGTCGGAATGAGCAGCTAATGAATGGTAGGCGGCGTGTGAACGAGAGAAGGTTGTTCTCTTGTTTTTGTTGTTGTTGAGGAACGTGGCGTACCTAGACTGGAATGCGAGCGTGGCTGGCTGCCGAATCCAAAGCCACTGATTTACGCCGAGCAAGCCAAGCGTACGGGGTTTTCAGACACAGCGTTCCGGCGCCCTACGTACTGGCATGGATGATCACAGTTACGTTTCGCAGCTGTGGTGAAAAGGGCATACATAGGGTGGCAGTTCTGATGAAAGTTAATGCTCCTTGGAAAAGGACTTGCAAGTTGTATAGTTGAGCTAGAATATATCGTGAAAAGGGACTAAATACATTGACAGGGTGGTGTTGTGTAGTTGAGCTACAATATATCGTAAAAAAGGACTAAATACATTGACGGTGTGGTAAGCCAAGCAGAAAACAAAAGTCGTTATACTGGACCAAGTGCGATCTATGCACAAGATTCCCGATTCAAGAACAAACAATAGCACAAGTCGTCTTAGACCTATCAGCACCAGCTGGTGTTCTTTATACTCCCGCTCGAAGAAAAAAGAGAAAAGGTTTTAAGCATCATACACAGCCCTAAAACGCAGCACTGGGGTTCTTAGGCCCAAGAATGTCATCCATGAACCCGTCCCAGATCTCGCCCAAGGCACCGGGCTCTTTGTTCATCCTGGGCATGGGTTTCGTGAACGCCGATGTGGTCAGCTGCTCAATATCAACATCGAGGGCCTCATTGCCGACGACTTCGCTCATAGCGGCCGGAGCGACATTTTCGGGATGCGCAGCCACGATGCTGATTTCGGGCCTTGGGAGTGCCCCGTCGAAGGCCTCGAGCGTATGGCCTGACAAAGCGGAGCGGTCCGGAGTGTAGTTATCTGGGAGGAGCGGGACACGGATTTCGTGGAAGGAATCGGTCTGGGGAGCGGGCTCGAGGGCCGGGAAGAAAAAGCAGTCGATGGTGGAGGTGTTGTGGGCGTCAAGCTTGGGGGCTGAGGTCTTGAAGCCTTGCATGAGGGGGATGGTTCTGAGGGGAGAGGGAGTGGGCCGGTGCAGAATGCCAGTGTTGAAGGAACGGGCGCCAACGATGTCGTGGGCTGTGAGTCTGTCGACCAGCTAAGACGTATTAGTTGAGTTGGATGAAGTTGGTGAGGAATGAATTGTACCTCATTCTTGTTGCCGACCACATTCAAGGATCGTTTCTTGCATTCAGCTCTGAGATCTTCGATATTCCGGGGTAGGTGCCTCGACGCTCTTGATTGTGCATCAAGAAGTCCAGATGGGCGTGCTGCAGTTGCACTCGAGCTGATCCCTCGTAGTGCACGAGTGAGTTTGGTAACTGGAGGTGTAACTCTCGACATGATTGTTGTTGTTGATGATGTTGATGATGTTGTTGAAGAAGAAGACGAGCAAGTAATGATGAGGGGGTGATATGTTAGAGCCTAAGATAGGACGAAGATGTGACCGAGATATGTCAGATCTGGCGTGGTGCGATATCCGGGGAACAGTCAACGAGAAAAGAGAGCACAAGCTGGATAGGATGAAGAAGCAGATAGCTAGCAAAAGGGGACGAGAGCCCTAATTTAATACTCGCAGAGATGAGTGAGACCAAGAGCCCAAGAGCCCAAGAGCCCCCAAGAGCCCAGAGAGCTGAAGCCTGGGCTGCTTGCTGTTGAGAACTCGACCAGAGACAAGCTTAGCCTGCAGGGGGGAGCATAGACGATCTCCTCAACAAAGCAAGCCACCGAAGCGGTGAACAGTCGGTGACCGATTCTACATACATCTGAGCCCTGTGTGTATGTATGTGTTATGTATGCAGCTGTCGCACATTTGCAGGATAATCCTTAACAGATAATGAAAATAAAAAGAATAGTCCTGGGTAAAACAGTAAAAGTTGAGATGGCATTGGTACTCTGACCCCGTAGATCATTCACTCACTGTCCCGTTAAGCTTCAGAGCGGGCCGGGGAAAGAAACTCTTGAATTGCCGGAGCCACTATTCATCTCTTGGCCATCTCGGCGCTGGAGCAGCTCGTGTATCAAATCTACTACTATCTTAGCTTCGTCGACCCAATGCCACTGTTCCGAGTAACAGACCAAAACCCCCAAGACCAGTCCAAAGGCTTGGTTGGAATGGGTTCTTGGTTTGGATTGTTCGAATGAAGTCCGTAGACTACAAAGATTGGAACCGGTATTCCCCAGGTAAAGAAAGCCAAGCTCTCAAGTTCTCAAGTTCTCAAGCTCTCAAGCTCTCAAGCACGACAACTTGACACGCTCGCTCCACAAACATGCTGCAAGTACGATAGGTATGGTATGTACACCCAGCTATGACTTCACAAAACAACCGGAACGCCACGCCAAGTTCTCATGAGGTCGGGCCACTATTTGACTTTGGTCCGGGTAGTCTCTTGCTGATGGCCCCCCCAAAAAATGCATCACCACTTTTGCAGACTTGCCTTGCCTCTTCCACAGGCATGGGGTATCTTTCTGTATTCACCCCCTGATATGACCTTGTCTATCATCATGAAAAAGAAAATGGTTCGTTCAGATTCACCTAGTCTCTCTTCCAGTGGCTCGTAAGGTCGTCCACGTCTTCTTTTCCAAGGTAAAGCTCCAAGGAATATAAGGCCATTGTTGCAGCCACGTTGACCCATCGCCATATGTTCCCACCAGAGTCTCCACCTTGCATGGTCCACCATTCCGCAAAGTTTCCCTCTGCCGAGGTAGTTGAGAAGTGTTGCATGAGCAAGCTGGTATACACTGCCACGAGGATACTGGGGCTAAACCAACTCAGAAGTCCTAGAATTTTCCCCGCTCCATCACTGTCCTCCAGACTTGGCTCTTGAGATAAAGCTCGTGCTCCGGATTCGCGTACAGCTGGAATAATCCTGGTAGCAGAGTAGAACACGAATATTCGGTAGGCGAGAGATATAATGACCGATGGAGTAATGGTCTGGAAAGCGGCATACAAGAATGTGAAGCCTGACAAGACCGCCGATGGCAAAGTGGACACCATGTATAAAATTGTGCTATATGAGGCCATGATGATCGGAGGAAATGGTGGAAAGTCGGGTTGCGCTGGAGGCGGGGGAGGCTCCGATGTTGGCTGGTAGTCGGTAAAGATCTGGTAGATGCACAACACCACGTAGGCGAATAGTAGAGAGCTTTCCACCGGATTTCCTCTGCCGCTCCCAATCCCCCACGCGCATAGGAAAACTGCGCAGGTTATCGTTACCCCAATAAGCGTAGCGTCCACATGGCCGACCTCTGGGAAGCTCATTATGCGCCATAGAAAGTAAACAGCACTGGAGATGATCGAGCCCGAAAGAATGAGCAAGCCAATCTTCAACGCATTAGCTATGAAAATTCACACTGGAAGGAGGCTTACCATCCACATATCGCTTCTCCCACGGTTGACGAGCCATTTCGTAATTTGGCCAGCAGCTTGAATCACTAACAGACTACAGAAACCCTCGGCTAGTTGGAAGAAGGGTGTTGAGTATCTGAGGAGCTTTTCCCAGGTCCCAACTGTCAACATCTCGAGTAGCCCGCCGGCGCCAAATATCCATTCCGTCACGCTCGCATCTTCCGCTCTCTTTCCATCAAAAGTCCTCGCAATCCAGTCCCCACTGTTGTTTGTGTCCACCGCAAACCGATTCATACTCCAGATCAGAAGCCCTGGTATCAATACCCACTGTGCCAACCCGATCGCCTTTACCAGAGCCCATCGTATCCTGGAGCTTTCTGGTGTCGCTAACTTCAGGGTCGAATAGAGGAAGTAAAAGTAGAAAAGACTGAGCGAAAATGCCAGCCCGCATTCCCGCCCGCCGACATCGAAGGCTATGGGTATGGAGAGGATAATCGAGAGGAGAAAAGTCGCGGAGGAGAAAACACGGAATAGCCACATCAGCGCTGTGGGCGCCGGAGCGTGCTTGGAAGCGCGCCCAGCTAGGAATCGCTATGCTTTCTGCTCTTTGCAGGATCTTGAGGCCGGAGGGGCGCGTCGCGGATCTGAGAACCAAATTGTAGCGTAAGCTTGTGGTGAGAACTCGTCTTGTCTTGTCGAGTATTGGCTGGCACCTGGCTGTACCACTCTTACCGGGACCGTTCGATCGGGACCGTTCGTTAGAGGTCGGTTTTTATCTGCACGCAAAGCTCTTTGAATTGACGGAAGCGCTGCGTGACCTGGATCTGCTCTGCCCGGACGACAAGTGTAATCGACGATCCTCTGGACTAGTCGGCCTGGGAAGGTGTTGCTTTGCAAGTCGCCGCCAATGATGCTTTATCGCGTGCCAGGGAGACAAGGATCGTCTCTTCTAGTACTATGATGAGGTCGCGACGCTGTAATATAGACGGAAATTTCCTGTGAAGCCCACGATATCACGGTTTGCTGAAAAACCGAAAAACCTGTAATAATTCCAGGAGAAGCGAAGGCAAAGTGAGTCTGCTGCAGAAAATTGATTTAATTACAACGTACGTGGGAAGGCTGTCGCCATGTGTGTCGGTGAGGCAGCAACCTAGACCCGACCCAGTCTGAAAGGATAAAACGGAGGCCCACCTAAGCGAGCCGACGATTAAAGTGCTTTGAGTCCAAGTGCCAAACCAACACCACTATTTTGTATGTTGCGCAATACGTTCAAGATGGCGGAAACTGCGGCAAAGAGACTCAAGACCTCTCCGGTCACCATTGGTACCCACAATGGGTACGCGTTCTAGAAGACTCTCTCCGTTTTCGCAATTGTTAATCTTCTTGCAGCCACTTCCACGCCGACGAGGCTCTGGCAGTGTACATGCTCCGCTTATTACCCACGTACAACTGCTCTCAGCTCGTCCGAACTCGAGATCCGGCTCTTCTCCAGACCTGCCACACAGTGGTCGATGTAGGTGGAGAGTACGACGCCGCAGCCAATCGATATGACCATCACCAACGTACCTTCGCCACCACCTTCCCCAACCGACCTACTAAGCTCTCTTCCGCGGGATTGGTGTACATGCACTTTGGCAAGGCTATTATTGCACAGAAACTGGGTGTCTCCGAGGATGTTGAAGAGGTTTCTGTCATCTGGAACAAGATCTATGAGAGTTTCATAGAGGCGTTGGACGCTCACGATAATGGCATCTCTGCTTACGACCCTAAGGCTATCACGGCTGCTGGTCTGGAGAAGAGGTTTAGTGATGGAGGATTCTCGTTGGGAGCTATGGTCTCGAGATTGAACCCAAACTGGAACGATCCTATCCCCTCGGACCCTGTTGAGGCACAAGCAGCAGAGGATGCGAAGTTTCTGGTTGCTAGTGAGCGTATGGGCGAAGAGTTCTCGAGAGATTTGGATTACTACGTCAAGTGTTGGTTGCCGGCTAGAGAGATTGTGCACAAGGCATACGCGAAGCGGCTAGAGTACGATCCTCAAGGCAGAATCTTGGTCTTCGACGGTCAATCTGTGCCTTGGAAGGATCATCTTTACACTCTCGAGGGCCAGGACGAAGGAGAGGCAAAGGTGCTCTACGTGCTGTACCCCGAGAAGCCAACCTCTGATGCCAAGTGGAGAATTCAATGTGTCCCAGTCACTAAGGACTCCTTCGAGAGTAGAAAGCCCTTGCCCGAAGCGTGGAGAGGGTTCAGAGACGAGGAGTTGGATAAAGTTTCTGGGGTTAGTGGTGGTGTATTCGTACATGCTGCTGGTTTCATCGGTGGAAATAAGTCATTCGAGGGTGCCAAGGCTATGGCTGTCAAGGCGCTCGATCTATAAAAAAAAGGGTTGAGGATACATTGCAAGGCGTTGGTGGAAGGGGTATGCCACGAGAATCAGTAGGGAGATGTGCTGCGAAAAAAGAACAATTTGCCAGCAATCATTAGAAAACAAAGCGTCCTGCTTTGTGAATCTATACACCCCTATGGTCAAAAATGTCCATTTTAAAGTAGCCCAATTAGTAGCCGCTTGGTTGTAGCCACTGGGCCAGGTTTTCATAAGAGATCCAAACCTCAAAACTCGAAATGAAACATTAGGAGCCGTCCTCGTGAAAATCATTTTTGTTTCGGATTTGAATACAAAGTACCAGTGTGGTGAGATCATCTCGCAACCTCGACCCAACCTCGAGAATTCCAGGAAACGGCATGTACAGTGAAAACCCGTTTCGAAGCCCGAAAGACCGTCAGTGTATCCTCAAACGCCATCGCAATCGCCAGCCAGCCATCAATCGTTGAATACCCCCGCGCCCAAGATAAAGCCCATCCGTCAAATACGCCCCGTAGGCCATAAATCCCTATTTTCCGACTTGGACAGCATCGTTGGCAGGTGGTGGGCTCACAGTACCGCTGAGCGTCTCACCCTTCTTCTCCTTATCCTCCGCATCATCGGCGCTCGTCTCTCGGTTCAGGAAGCTGCTCTCCTTCACTGGGCTTCCGCTCGGCAGACCACCCTGTCCACCCGGGTGCACGACGTTGCTGTTACCACTGCCGCCCTGGCTAGCGCTGCCGACGCCGGGGGAGGACAGGTGCGGGATGTTCTCGGGGAGGGGGTGCTGGGAGCCTACGCTGCCCGTGTCGACGGAGCTGGCTTTGCCTGCCTTGGAAAGCGCGTAGTCGCCCGAGTCGAAGTACTTGCGCTCCTTAAGCTGCTTTGCGAGGTGGTCGGACTTGGAGGGGAGCTTTCCATAGAGGCGGAAGAGGCGCTGCTCGTCGGGGGATAGCGACTATGGGTTTGCTTGGTAAGTGGTTGCTGGATCCTGAGGGTGGTTTGGGGGGCTGGAGGACGGGCTTTCTGCTGCGGAGTGGGAAAGTGACTTACGGCGACGTTGACCTTATTCTTTTGGTGGGGATTCATGTTGTAAGAGGAGCGTGTGAATGGAGGAAGATTGTGTGTTTTTTAGAGAGTCTCGAACGGTATTTTAACTGAGGTTTTGGCTTGACTCTTCTTTTGACGTGGTGAAGATGGCTCTGAAGTGGTTGTCGGCCTGTCCGTGCAGTTGCAAGGGTCTAGGAGAGGAGGGGTAGTTATGAAGCCTTCTAACTCCGAAGTCACCAAGTTGGGGTGATGACTTTTTGGAATCTTTCGAAACGAATAAGTTCAGGAGAATAAAAGAAATGATCTTCTAGGTCAAGTCCCACGAGTATTATCCAAACTATTATTCAAATGGATCGAGTGCGCATTCTGCAGATCCGATGCGATTTCCCCTCTTCGCCCCAGTCTCGCTTATGATAAAGTTCTCTTATCCCGAAAATTCTTTATGCCAACAGCAACCAGGAAGTTAAATCCATCGTCGAGGATTCTTCCCTTGCATGTTTGACACAGCATAAACAGTAACATATCAGCGGTGAGTATCATGGATTTTGATCCGTAAGAATCTCTTTACATCAGATCCAGCATCTCACAAGTTCGTAGCCATTAGCTGAGAACCAGCTCAAGATCCCAGCGCCATATCGATCTGCATATCGAGTACCGTCTATCATACGACTCTTGATAGTTCGGCGAAATCGAGTTTAGCAATTGAACCGGTCGAACGTGTCAAACGTTCTTCACATTTCCGAGATCCTCGCCGAGTTTGAAGGTGTGCCTACCCCACAGCGAAGCATCTCAGCAGCGGAAGGCTCCCGATTCGTCTTATAACGCGATAAATCCGAGCGGTTCCCAGATCTTACCTTCGGACTGTCATATCGGCAGCCTAGTTTTCAGGTTCTACCTGATCGATTACTATCCAGATGAGTTCCAAGACCTACATCGTCGAGCATCTCGATGATGAGCTCGGCCCTTGGTCCGAACTAGAATACATCACCATAGCCAAAGAGTGCCATCAGGCAGGTGCAAAGTTCTGTCTGTCTTCAATTCCTTCCTCTCTGGTGCTACCGGAGGCTTTAAAAGTCGTACCAGGTTTCACAGCAGATGGCAATAGCGTCGAGACAATCTACGCAGCAGACAAGAGTCGAGTTTGTTTGCTGGACCCGTCAGCCACCAAGGAGTTGAGCCCGGAGGATGGTGACACCTTCGATGTCTTTCTGTTCGGAGGAATTTTAGGTGAGAGGTCGTCTGCCAATGAAAGCGGCTCTTCAGGACTGACTGTGCTCAGGGGATGATCCACCCAGAGGTTTGTGCATGAGACTTCGGGGTGCCATGCAACTGACCCGGTATAGACAGAACTTCCGAGTTAAGAAATAAGGGTTTCGAGGGAAGACGTCTTGGGCCAAAACAAATGACTACCGATACCGCTGTCAGAGTGACAAGGCTCGTGGCACAGGAAAAGAGTGAGTAGACATTACTGCCGACAGAGCTTGTGCTAACAATTTGTAGTTCCACTGGACGAGATTGAATACGTGGACTACCCAGAGCTGAGAATAAATAAGAACGAAAGCACTCAAATGCCGTTCCGGTATGTGAAAGGAGTGGATGGACAATCGATCATGCCGGAAGTACGTCAACCCAGAACTGACACTTTGCGATTGAATGCTGACCATGTCTAGGGAATGATTGGCCTGATCAAGAAAGATTCAGAGAAAGGCTTTGGCGATCTCTTCTGAGCGGTAGGTCTCGGGTGGTGCAGAGGCATCCAAAGCCAGCGAAATGCAGAACCATCCTCAGGGGCTGATCTCTGACCGGCAGGCAAACCATGAAAGCTGCTTGCAATTTGTACTTGAGATGCAAATTCCTCCTTGGAGTGGCCACTTACACTCCGCAGAACAATCTCTTCGGCCTGTTGCGCTTACTAGCATTAGTAGTGGCAAGCTTCCGTTGGCAATGTGAGCACTTTGGGTTCAAGAGTGTATGATGCATTCTGTCAGCAAATTCTCTGGACCGCGAAAGACGCACTGTGTGTATTCAGGATGACTGCTTGAAGTCAAAGTCTAAGTCCATTCCAGCATCGTGAAATATAGCCCAGCATTTCCAAATGCAAACTGGTGAGCTACGAAGTAGTTCATCGGAAAAACAGGGTTTGCGCCTCGGGATAGGGTCTCCCATGCGAGGTCGATAATAAAAGTTGCGAAGCCAACTCCCACTATTACATGTTTTAGGGAGAGTCAAACTTGACATGATACTTCAACTGGCGGAATTGTGTAATAAACGTCGCAAGGTCTGAGCGATCCCGTACTTAGCGTATGACCATGGCAGCTACCTAGCAGAAGGTGAAGCTGCGTCCTCCTGAGCTGAATGGGCTGTTTGATCAAGCTGGCTGACTCCTTGATGAATTGCGGCGATCAGAGAATTCAATTAGATACACAAAATTAATCCTCTGATTTTCGGCATTGCTTTCATGTTAGATATTTCTTGTTGATTGAATGTTGTCTGCCGGGTAGAGTTGCAGCTGGACTTGGTTGGGGCGAGACCCTGAAAATCTGGAAATACTCAAAGTGAGCAAGATCGCCAAGCCACCCAGCCTATCCCGGTTTCTGGGTGGACATGGGGGCTCGGACAAAGAGCCTCATCGAGTTTGAAAGAGCCCAAAACTTATTGTAGCCTTCTCCAGACAAGGCTTGAGACTTTCCACTGGGAAAACAGATAACCCATCGGTCGCTTCGAATTTTCCCCGGGTTCCACGACATTCACGTACATCCCACCAGACCTGGCGTCGCTCCGGAAATCATTAGCTCTCGGGTCGTATAGCTGACGCTTGGAAGGCTTATCAGCTTTAAGTGGGATCAACACCTTCATAACCAACATCTGTCCTTCCTTCACGAGAACCACGGTCGCGACAGCGTGCTTCTAGTCAAGGATTCCACCATGAGGATTTCCCCATGGGAGCGATTGCAAGGGGGCACTGGGATACTCTCGATATGTGGCCTTCTGTCCATGGCGATGCTGCCAGCGGCGATTCAGGCGGACAAGAAGGCGGCGGATTACTATGTGCATTCCCTGCCAGGGGCGCCGGAACCGTTGCTAAAGATGCATGCTGGGTCTGTCTCAATTTTGCTCCTGTGAAGCTGGTGCGGATCTGGGCTGACCGTTCCTTTATTAGACACATTGAGATTACACCCGAACATAACGGCAACCTTTTCTTCTGGCTGTATCAAAACAGGCACATCGCGAACAAGCAACGGCTGGTTATATGGTTGAATGGGGGTCCAGGATGCAGCTCTGAAGGTGCGTCTTAAAAAGGATCCTCTGAGACCTCGGAGAGGTCTTGGCCTGGTATAATTGCTGTAGGGTAGGGCGCTGACTTAAATACAGATGGAGGCTTAATGGAAATTGGACCCTACCGTGTCAAGGACGGTAAGAATGGGCCCAAATTGGAGTACAACGCGGGTTCCTGGGACGAATTTGCAAAGTAAGTGACTGGGGGTATACAAAAGACCGGAAAATTTTGCTGACCTCCTGCAGTGTTTTGTTCGTAGATAATCCGGTTGGTACAGGCTTTAGTTTCGTCGACACGGATAGCTATGTTCACGAGTTGCCAGAAATGGCAAACCAATTCATACAGTTCTTAGAGAAATGGTTTGCGCTGTTTCCACAGTTTGAGAATGATGATGTGAGTGTATGGAAGGAATGGTAGTACGGCGGGAGCATCACTAACCACGTGTAGATATATATTGCAGGAGAATCTTATGCCGGACAACACATTCCATATATTTCGAAGGCAATTCTAGACCGAAACAAGGCAGGGGGAAAACACCCATGGCAACTGAAGGGTATGCTTATCGGCAATGGGTGGATTTCACCAAAGGATCAGTACAAAGCTTACCTGGCTTTTGCATACGAGAGGGGGCTGGTAGAGCGAGGCTCGGATATTGGGAAGAGACTCGACAAGCAAGACGCTATTTGTGCAAAAGCGCTGGAAGAGACTGGGGGACACGATAGTATCGACATTGGAGTTTGCGAAGCGATCCTACAGGACATCTTGCACGAGACAATGACCACGAAATCAGATGGTACTTCTGAGTGCTACAACATGTACGATGTCAAGCTAAAGGACTCCTTTCCTAGCTGTGGTATGAACTGGCCCCCGGATTTGGAGGAAGTTACACCTTATCTTCGCCGTCAGGATGTCATTGCCGCGCTCCATATCGACCCTGGAAAACGGACTGGATGGACCGAGTGCAATGGAGGTGTTGGAAGTGCTTTCATGGCCTTGAAGTCCAAGCCCTCGATCCAATTCATGCCAGATCTTCTCAAGGAAGTCCCGACCATACTTTTCTCAGGCGCTGACGATCTCATCTGCAACCATATTGGTACGGAAGAGCTGATCAGCAACATGGAATGGAATGGTGGCAAGGGCTTCGAGATATCCCCTGGTACCTGGGCTCCAAGAAGAGAGTGGACCTTTGAGGGTGAAAACGCTGGATTCTGGCAAGAGGCTAGGAACCTCACCTACGTGCTCTTCTACAATTCGTCACATATGGTTCCGTTCGACTACTCTAGACGCACTCGCGATATGCTTGATCGGTTCATGGGCGTAGATATTGCCGGCATTGGTGGTGTCCCGTCCGACAGCCGCATTGACGGCGAGAAGGGTCTCGAGACCTCAGTTGGCGGCCACCCTAACAGCACTACAGCCGTCGCAGCCGAGGAAGAAAGACTCCAGGCTGCCAAATGGGAAGCATATTATAAGTCCGGTGAGATCGTCCTCGTCATTGTGGTAATCGCTGCTGCAGCTTGGGCCTACTATGTCTGGAAAGACCGCCGCAAACGCGCAGGATACAGGGGTATCTTCGGAGGCGAGCCCATGACTCTGGGCGGTGCTCGAGAGAGCGTCAGAGGAGGCATGGGTTTGGAGAGCTTCAGGCATAAGCGGCAAAGCAGAGACGTGGAAGCCGCTGATTTTGACGAGAGCGAGCTTGACGAGCTGCATGTGCGTACCCCAACTGAAGAGGATATGGACCGGGAACGTTACAGTGTGGGAAGTGCTAGCGATGACGAGGATCTGAACCCGGGGAACGGCCACTCGAATGGCAAGGAGAAGAGAAGTGAGAGATAGTGAGAGGTTGTGAGAAGAGATGGAGGAGTGGGGGCTGTGCATGCATGCACTGGAGGAGTAATAAAAGCGTAGCGAATGATGGTAAGATAGCGGCGCTTGATAATGCCATTATTTGTTTGCTCTATTTCCACTTGCGATGTGCACGCCTATGCTCTATTCATGTGAACCTCTTGGGTTGTGGCAAGTTACATAACACCTCTTCCCAAGATTACATTCACTAAGCTGGCGAGGATCTGTTTCAAGTATCGAATCCTTCTTCGCTGGCTGTTCTTCATTTGTTTGATGCATTAACCAAATGATGGTCAGCTGAATTTTGCTAACGCCAGTCACTTTAGTTCGCCTTCTCATTCTCCGACTCTCACAAGAGCCATTTATCACACATCACCTACTTAACTCATCCGTAGAAAGTATTTTTCTTTTGTAATGGTTCTTCCAATTCCTATCCGGGCTGCGCATGGTGATCTTCTGGTATTCTTCGCTGCAAATTTCGATCCGGAACGCCTTTATGCATGCTCCTATCACATCCGGTCCCGAAATTTTGCCCATCCAATTTTCAAGAAAAGCCCGCGTAGAGTACACCCTACAATCAATCATGCTAGCTCTGTCTAGCTCGCATTTTTGCCATTCATCATACCAGCAGTTGCTCGGTCACATGCTTTCCCGCCTCCCAAGTCCCGTTGCCTTCATCACGCTGCTCACTTCTTCGCTGCTTCACCGCTTCTTAACGCTTGGTCGGGGTTTGCACTCGTCTGCGTTGACAGCGTGCATCATCACCTTGTTAGTGAGCGTGGCGGTATTGCTTGCGTAGCCCTTGCTCCAGTCGTAGCTGACGGCGTAGGCGAAGATCTCTCCTTTGGCGTCGAAGGCTGTTGCTGAGATAGTGCCTCCAACGGCGGGGTAGCCCTTTAGTCTGTGTTTGGCAACTCCGTCCCAGAAGTGGAATGTGCCGTCTGAGCCTGCGGTGCTGAAAGTGCCGTGGACGGGGTGATAGGAGATGGCGTTGACGGAGTAGACGTTGGTCATGTTATTCTGTGGAGGGTCACGATGGCATTTGAAAGAGAAGTTGGAGCTAGGAATACTCTGTTAGGAATGACGCTATGTATGGAGGGAGGAAGTTGAGCTTACCTGGAGTCCTTATCTTCAACGTATTGAATAGCACATCTCCCTTCGATACTTCCAACTGCAAACCCAGTAGCATCCGTAAAGCAACTGACCACTCTCGTTTGCCACTTCAGCGGACTTTGGAGGGTCTTGTAGAACTTTGTTGGGTCGCTGAGGTTGATCACGTTAATATATCGGTCCGCAGTCCCCACGACGAGCAGGTTCTTCTTCACATCCAGCGTATAGATTCGTTCCTGACATTGCACGGAAGCCACTGGCGTCGACTGGCGCAAGTCCCAGTATTTGATAGTCTTGTCCCACGAGCCAGTAACAATCATCGGCGCACTGGCATTAAGTGGCGTAAAGTACTTGACGCAACGAATGGGTTGATCGTGGGCAGCAACTTGCGTCGCGGTGTTGGTACCGGATGCAAGGTCGATTACGCGCGCAGCCTTGTCTGCTCCAGCTCCTACGACCTTGGTTCCATCCTGGTCAAAGTCAACATTTGCGCAGCTCCAAGATGCCCTGTTTTACTCACAGGCGACCAGTCGCAGCTAAATACAGGTCCCTCGCAGTCGAAGAAGGCCTTCCCATTGCTTCCCCCTGTTGAGGTGATCTCATAAATCCTGACTTTCTTGTCCCAAGACGCTACAGCCAGGTGGGAAGACTGCGGCGAGAAGGACAGGTCGGAAATGCTGTCGTCTGGGGGGTTGCTGAGGGCAACATCGTTGGAGAGGTCGCCGAGAGTGTTTGCTGAGTTGGTGCTACTCGCATTCGCCGTTCCAAATATTCCCGCCATTTTCAAAGGTCTTGCTTGTACGTAAGCTCGAGGTCGAAGAGACTGATAATGCAGTTGTTCTTCCACGGGTCGTGCACTGTAGGCAAGAGAGTTTTTGTCGTTGTCAAGAGCTCATTCTTTCTTCAGGCACAGCTTTCAAGAAGTTCGCGACTGCATCCGGCGTGTCGGCCAATCATAATCCCGATCCTTAGCTCTGCACTAGCTAGTCACTAGCGCGAGCAGCAAATTTGCTACTATAAAAAAATCCACTGCCCAACGTTCTCACCTCCTCAACTTCTCGCTCAAAGAATCGCATTCGAAGCACACAAACAGAGAGGCCTTCCGAGGTCTCTCAGCTAGCAATAGCTACTCTTGCTTCGGGAGAAAGTCCCCGGACACCCTTCATTCTGAAGGAGTGCGGAAACGCGCCGCCATAGAAGCAACACAGCGGCTTCTCTTCTACCAATTCCTTGTCACTCCCTCCACCCTCTCGCCATCTGTACTGCACTCTCGCCGACCTCAGAACTTCGATTCTTAGTGGAGGAGATCCCATGGATGACGATACGAGTCCACGCTTCTCTACGACGTATCTCGGAACTGGGCGAGGTGGGTTTGTGGGAGGTGCTTGGGCTGTTCTCGGCGTGCCAGGGATGTTCTGGTCGGAGAGGTCATTTCGTCGAGAATAATAGATATGCGATTGCCTCTCCTGCTGCGCGAGTGGCAAAAGGGGTAACTCGATGGGGCTTATTCTTGATGCGAGAAGTTCACCCTTCCCCTTTTTTATTTTGGGTCCATAGCTTATAGAAAGCGGTGGCAGCTCATGAGTGCTGGGACAATCACTCTATCTCTTCTCGCGCGAGGGGAGACGTCCCGGTTCGACGTGTGCTGTCGCAGATGCCCAGTCGAAAGGGCTGGACTCCATTCCCAGTTTCTATGATGATAAAACTATAGAGTCAAGCACTTAGGGCATTCATATGCTCCTTGATGACAACGTCAATGCGTTATGGTTGCTGAGAAACGCCTTGCACTATTGCAAGCTTTTACACCCTCCGTCTTCTTCAAATTACATTTTACCTCCTTGTCTGCACTTCAAGTTTTCATTCTGTTCTGTCCGGTGCTAGGAAAGAGGCATGGTAGCGGGGGTGGCTGGCATTTGGCAACGCGCTTGGTAGATGTTGGGAATTGTAGGTACATAACAGAAAACGAAGTACACCTACTGTGCACCTGATTACCCCCCTTGGTACCTATGCCGTGAGTTCAAGATTTGAGAGACGTATTTTGCGCAGGTACATGTCATGAAGATTGTCATGGGCTCTTTCGGCCGAGCAGCCAATGCCTTGACATGAATTCCAACAGATTCCCTGAGCGGCAGGCAAACGGCGTCTTTCGATTCATGCCAACTCTCTCTACGAATTCTTTACGCACCGCTCAAGCCAAATTAAGCACACATGGCTCAGAGTCCGAATATGCTCGTCTAGGTGAAAGCTCAGGGGTGGAATACTTCGTCCGTGTACTTCCGTTGTCCCAGCTGCGAGTAGATTCACCGTCACGCGTTTTCTGAGGACGACACAGCAAAGCACCGACGCGTCTCTCTCTCTCTCTCTCTCCTGTCTCCATTTCTGCTCTCGATCGGGAGTGTAGTTCATGTAAAACGTGAATGCTCTTCTACATAGTTGTCGTCGCTACGGACGACTTTGATAGAGCGATACAGCCCTGGCTGAACCGCCACACAAGAGTTTTTTTCTCTTTGGGAGTGTTGAAACAAGCATAAAAATAATAGTTTTTCATGTATTAAAACAGTGTAGGTGTGAGCATGACAATGCAGCAGCTATTCAGAAATTCCCCCAGCCCTCACTCGTATCTTCGTAAATCATGTAAGTGCCAAACTCCGCGCTGAACACTTGCCTCTCCCTCTCTCACATTAGTCCCCCAAGTACAGCTTTACCCACACCAGCAACCTCGTGCTTCACCCCTGCCCGACTGTGATCCTCAAACTCCTTTACCACGCCCTGCACGATAAGCTTCCGGACCCTCGAATCAGCCTTCGTGAACATCTCCGCAACGATAGGACTGCACTCCCGCGGCGAGGCCACCAGACTCAACAGCCGCGTGTAGCAGTCGATGAGCACATCGCACAGCGTGGCGAACGTCTCGTAGAAATCCGGATCGAAGGGTAACGATGGCGTCAACAAGTGCGTATACTCCTCACCGGGCAGCAGGTCGTTCTCACTGATTGGGAAACTCGACGCCGCGCCCCCCGAGCCCGTACTCGACTCGAAACTGTCACTGCCCATCGGTAAGCCAATCTCGGCCGCCGAGCTCATCCGCCGACCCTTCCCACCCGTTCCTGTGGCGCGTTTGAACATCTGTGGGAAGCGGCCGCGGGAGATGGAGGTCGAGCCGTCGGGCGGGTGGACTTGCTGGAAGGACTCGAATTCCACGAGGAGCGCGTTGAGCGTCCTGAGGAACTCGATGGGTGTCGAAGCGTTCAAGTCGAGGATTGTGGGGAGGGAGAGCCCGAGGAGGAGGTAGTTTGTTGCACGGCGGGCAAGCTTGCGCGGGTCAAAGTAGGGCATGCGTGCCAGGTCGGGCTTATTGAAGAGGAGCGTGTTGAACCAGTACACTCTGCCTTCGTGTCTGTTTTCTTCTCGTTAGCCACGTACTTGCTCCTGGGCTCATTGTCGCGTTGGGGACATCTGACATACGCTTTCCGGAGATAGTCTAACGTGGATATTCGCTTCGAAGATGTCTCATGTATGTGCTGATAGGTGATTGTCTCCAGCGTCGGGCTGGGCAGCGGCACGGCCGTCGTCGAAGACTGGTATCCTGTACCTGGCCGGGCCAACATGTTCGAAAATGGCGTCGACGACGAGATGGATTCTCCTCCAGCTGGAGTCGGGGGGATCTGAATTTCAAAACCAGCAGCACTCGCAGCCACCTTCTCAAAGCTGTTTGCGGATGTCCGGCCCTGCGTCTCACCTACGACTGTCGGCAACCGATTTTCCTGCTCCCTATGGTGTGCCGCTGTCGATCTTGCCCGCCTCCTCTCCGGCGATATCTGGTTGAAGGGGACTGATTCTTTGCGCCCGCGAGGCGACTTGCCGGTGGTGGTGGAGGTGGAGGCTTTGCGCCCGAAAGTTGGCGTCCTGGATAAAGCGCTGAACCCGATCTCACTGCTGGAGGCCGGTCCGCCACTGGTGTTCGGCCTGGTGCCAGTCGTCGCGGACGATTTGCTGCTTCCAAAAATGCTGCTGCCGGTCTTGAAAAGCCCTCCGCCGCCACCGCTGCCGGACTGGGAATTACTCGATCGATGCATCTCGCAAGGTTAGTGTACAGTAACGTTAATCTAGGCTGACCACAGGGGCCCGCTCATCAACATCTTGTTCGAGATCTACGTCTCTGGCCTCACGTCCTGCTTTTTCATTCTTTCTCTGGACTGAAACTGGGGCAGCGATGGCTCAGAGAGACAACGACAAGGATCGGAGATTTGAGTTATAGATATAGTTGTCGATATTAAATATATGGCTTTTCGGCCTCGGTATGGGTTCACGTCCCTGGCCCAGGCCCAGGCCCATGCCCGGGTACCCGCCAGTCGAGTGCTAGGCTGGGGATGCGACACTTCATGATTCAAGAGATTCGAATAATGCGGGATGATTGATGGGATGATAGATTTTGGGTGACTACACGATATACGTAGTATGCATACTAGAAGGAGATTTCTTTTATATGGAGATTTCTTTGAAGGATTTATCCAGCAGCGTGGAGCGTGGGCCTCAGACTAGATCAGATCAGATCAGATCAGATCAGAGAATCTGCCGGCCTAAGTACAGAGACTCAGCTGTAACAACCTACCCCGTAAGTGTAAGCGGTCGTCCATCAATCCAGCACTTTCTATTAAGTAATAGGGGATCTGGGGATACTGCCGGTACCCCTGCAGCTGCTGGACTACAACGGGCAGCGGTGAGGAGCCCCGCGATATGATAAGGGGGGAAGCAAACGAGGAGGAACGAGGAGGAATGAAGAGGAACGAGGGGTTCATGTTTGTTTGCAACAGACGGGCAACTGGCAACTGGTAACTGCCCAACTGTCCGCCTCCTATCCAAGCATTCATCATGAGTTCGAGGACAGAGGACGCCGGTCCTCCAGGAGACGCTGCCCCTGAAACTCTGGATGGTAGGATCTGGGTGGACGGCTGCTGGGATTTCTTCCACCACGGTACGTAAACGGACACGATTGTTATTGATGATACGTACTAAAGTGCTATACGATGCAGGCCATGCCGGCGCGATGCTGCAAGCCCGCCAGCTCGGCTCGGAGCTCGTCGTGGGCATCCACTCCGACGAGTCGATCTTGGAGAATAAAGGGCCGACGGTCATGACTTTGAAAGAACGGTAGCTTCTGTCTAACCAGAGCTAGACAGGGATGCATTGTTGATTCTGTGCCAGTATTGCTGCCGTCGATGCTTGTAGATGGGTGACCCAGTCCGTACCGTATGCGCCATATGTCACCTCCCTGCCTTGGATCTCGCACTATGGGTGCAAGTATGTTGTGCACGGAGACGATATTACCTCGGATAGCAGTGGGGAGGACTGCTACCGCTTTGTGAAGGCGGCCGGTAGATTCAAGGTTGTGAAGAGGACGCCGAGTATTTCGACTACAGATCTGGTAGGGCGGATGTTGCTGTGTACTCGCACGCACTTCATAAAGTCTTTGACGAAACTGCTGGGTGGAGAGGAGGGGTCAGGACCGGAAGAGGAGAGGGTCAAGACGGGGGCCGATATGACGGAAAGGATGAAGATGTATGCCACAGACGAGACGGGTTTGAATCCTGGATCCAGCGTGTGGTTCTGGACTGCTTCCATCAAAGCCAGAGAAGACGACACAGAAGAAGAGAAGGGAAATTTCAGCTGCTTGAGCCAAGGTTCGCAGCCGAAGCCCGGTCAACGCGTTGTCTATGTCGATGGCGGCTTCGACCTCTTCTCCTCCGGCCACATCGAGTTCCTGCGAAAGGTCATCCAAGCCGAGGAGAAGCTCGGCGAGGAGGAAGGCTGGTACAGCAAGGAAGCAACCGACGAGCGCATGGGCAAAGGCGCAGACTATGGTCCGGTCTTCGTCGTCGCAGGCGTCCACGACGACGAGGTCATCAACCACTGGAAGGGCGTCAACTACCCCATTATGAACATCTACGAGCGCGGCCTCTGCGTGCTGCAGTGCAAGTACGTCAATTCGGTGATCTTCGGCGCACCGTTCACGCCTACGCGCGCCTACCTGACCTCGACGCCTTGGGGCACGCCGGATGCGGTGTACCATGGCCCGACGTCGTTCATGCCGCTGACGTACGATCCTTATACAGCGCCGAAGGAGATGGGTATTTACAAGGAGATTGGCGAGCATGATTTCTCAGATGTGAATGCTGGGCAGATTGTGCAGCGAATTCTGAAAAGTAGGGATATGTACGAGGAGAGGCAGCGGGTGAAGGGGGTGAAGGGGATCGGAGAAGAGGCCACTCGGAGGAGGGAGGAGATGGAGGAGCAGCAGAGGGTTAAGGAGGAAGCGGCTTAGACTGTGATACTAAGGGAGAAAGCCATTGAAAAGAGGAGCGCGAAGGAAATGAGGGAAGGGGATCCCCAAGGCGGGAATCAGATTAGATTGGCGCGTTGCCTTTGTTCGGCGCGCAACACGTCCCGTGGACGATGCCTCCTGCTGAGTAGAACCTATGGACCTTGAAATCGAACAGAGATTTGGTGATCCTGATAATTATTAATCAAGAATGGAGGAGTTGACTAGTGTATTTCGTTCTTTCCTTGGCTTCGCTTACCAGATCATACCCCTGAGCACAGTAAACATTGGCCCGAGGAGCTGAGCTGTGCATACCTGATCTATGCCCACGTCTCGTTCACTGAAAGACATCTCTGGGTCATGACAATCGAAAAACCTAAGTGGGTTCTGATGCAAAATAATTTCAATTCGTGACATCTTTCCACTAGCAAAACGCCGCGGCAAGTGATCGCATCATATCAGATTAGCCGTCTATGCAATAAGCCTTGACCTCCCATCTCCAAACGCCCCCAGCCGAAAATACCACCCACGATTTATCTGTCGACCTCCGGTAGCTACAGCTGCACATCGTTGTTCAATAGACGAACCTCCTCCCCAGGCTTGAAAGCCGGCATTCCAATATAAGGACATCCGTCGCAGCGGAACGCATCGCCCAGACTGCAGTTTCCACACGAGCCGACCTTGCCTTGGACAGTGAAGTCGACCTCGGCGAGGTCCTCGGCCCCGAGCTTAAGAGTTTGGAGTTGGGCGTCGGCATTGGCACGCTTGGCGGCGTCTTCAGCGGCAATTTTTTGGGCGAGGCCACATGTGCAGTCTTTGCACGCGCGGCGGCGCTTGCCGGCTCTGGGGGCACATTCTTTCGCTGTATTTCTTGTCAGAGAGGGCCATGGCAGTTTCTAGAGAGGCTGTACTTACGGACGTGGACAGCACTCATATCAATATCTGCCAAGAGATCGTTTTCATCGATCAGCTCGTCGTCATCGTCTTCCTCGTCGTCTTCGCCTGTGATAGTAGGTTTCCCGAAATCATCGCTGAAATCAACGAATCCGACACCAATTGGCTTAGCGCCTGTCATATCAACGCTCTTCCGCTTGACATTGACTTGGGCAACGGGAGTGGCCACCGCAGATCCAGCACTCGAAACAGCAGGCGCCTTCTCCTTCCTCCGTAGTCTTAGAGGTATAGCCTCGCCCGCGCTATAGTCCGGCTTCATCATACCAGTACCCTCAGGTACGAGTCCAGCCATGATGCCCTCTCTCGCCTCAACGCTAGCGCTTTCTTGTCCAAACGTGCCATGCTGAGCCTGTAGCTTGCCACCGGCCTTCAGCGCCTGCACAATGCGCGAGAATACATCGCGGCCAAGCAGCTGTGTGGACTCGGTACGGGTGCCATCTGCGTCGGCGAGGACCAGGATCAGATCGTAGGTTGAGGAGGGGAGGGTGACTAGGCCGGCGGAGAGGCGATCCAGCATTTGCAGGTCCGTAACGGATCTATCGTGCGAGGCGAGCACATCACGGAGGCTCTCTTCGTGGCTTGCGATAGAGGGTGGCGCGAGGAGGAGGGTGCGGGCGCTGAATGAGGATGGAGAGTTCTTTGTCGCTCCTAGGGAGAAATCGACAGTGTCGTCTTCAAGTGTGAAGGCGGATGGCGACATTTCTCTATAGATTTTTCTAGGGTGGAGATTCCCTTATGGCAATGTCGAGAATTGAAGTTGAGTCTGATTTCCGGAGGTTAATCTCATACAGGGTGAGCGAGTCGGATTGCTGAGTGATATTCACCGGAGACGTTGAATTTTTTTTTTTGTCTTTTGGTAAATAATTATCAATCATGACTGTTCTCGGCAACGGGGGAGGGGGGGTAATCAGCCCCACGGGCGTTGAGCGAAATGAATGGTCATCAACATGGTCGGCCCAGTATGACGTGTGGCTTGAGTGGGTCCATTAGACGCAACTTGCAAGGTAGCCCCCCCATTCACTAGCGCCGATGATCACGCCACATGTTCGGGAGAGGGTCTCAATAAGTAGTAGTAGAAGAAGAAGGTACGTGATTGATGACAAAGAAGGAAGGGGAAACGATGCAATTGACCTACCAAGATAGTTGTAGATACCGGTAGATAGATTGGAAGCAACTCGCAGCGTGGGCATACCTTAGGTAGGGCACAATTAGTCCCCAGTCTTAGTCATGTTCACATTCATATTCTCATACCTACAGTAGTATAGGAGGAGCATTGGAATGAGACGACCAAGTACTACAAGCAAGTATTTACTTACTTACTGTACCTACCTTACGTACTATCGAAAACGTGGGGTCCCCTTCAGGCCCTTCAGGCCCTTCAGGGGAATGTCCAAGCTTAAGCTTCTCGTCTCCCATAAGTACAACGTAGGTTCCGTAGCTATGCATCACACGACCTCGCCTACGCATGCCTTCTCCCTCCCTCCCCTTCCTTTCCATTCTGAACTTTCAACTTTCTACATCATTCCATCAAACAACAACAACAACACCCAACAAGCTCACCAATAAATAACTCTCTCCCAAAGTCAATTCACAATCTCCCCGATACAATCAAACAAACCGCAACCAGTAAGTACTTGCTCCTCGAGCTTCCTGTTGATAGATACAATTTACCCCGCCTCGTTCTCTGTTTGCACCCTTCGTCGAAGCATACATACACGTAGGTGTATAGTTGTACCAACAATCCTACCCCAATTGGCTTGCGAATATCTTCACGTCCATCCTGGAACATCTGCTAACCCGTCCACAGTGGGAAAGACTACCAAGTACAACGATCGAGGTAAGCAGACACTTTCCCGTAGCTTCCTCCTGCTCGTCCCTTCCGCATAACGCATTTCTTCAACCAATACCATACGTGTTTTTGGAGAGCTTCTGCCATCTGCAGACACTCCTTGTACAATCTGCTATGGTTCCTCAATGGTGGCTTACACTAGACTGCGCAGACCACGCCGGCCTTGCTGATGGCACTGCCGCTGCTACCGAAGTAAGCAACCTGGACCCCGTCTCATGAATCTTCCTTCTCTGAACCAACCAAACTGAAAACGACTGTCTACAGCACCTTCCCCGCTACTTCGCCAAGTCAGGCCACGTCGATGTTGACCCCAAGAAGACCAAGAAGAATGGTGCCGGAAAGGGTGGATGGTCAGTTATAACGACGTGTGATACATCGGCACAAGGCTAACTCGTAAACTCAGGGGTGTTGATGGTGAGGAAGTCCAAGATGAAGGCTTCAACTTCAACAACGCTCGCCGCCGCTCCAACAGCTCCTCTTACGCTGCTGGCTTGAAGGACTTCAAGACCAAGTTCGAGCACGTTGAGCAAGACCCAGTCTTCGAAGAGGACATCCAGTAAGTACCTGAAGCATTCGATCTCGATGCTTGTGATTGTCCCAGGTCTACAAGAACTAACTGCCGGTGTCTTGCAGCGGTGCTATCCTTGAGGACGATCTCCCTGCAGCTCAACGTGTCAACACTAAGAGCTCCGATGGCAGCACTGATGAGGATGAGAAGGTCAAGAGCGCTTAAGGTTGTGATCTGATTTCGAAGTAGTCGCTGGTATCCTGATTGGGAATCAGGCAGGCGTATGGATGTTTACTGCAGGCGAGTGGCGTGGCATAACTTCTGATCAACCATCGTGGCATCGATGATATGGACTGGCATTTTCAGCCAGGTGTACTTTAGCTTCGCAAGGCATAAGCGAATTGCCCAGTACTTGACTTCCCATACCGTGAGTTGTGATGTCTCCGTACAGCAATGAGTAAGCAGGGGCATCTCAACTAGACAGAGCTAAAGAAGATGAGTGTACTCTGTAAATATTGGATTACATACCGTACCTCTCTTGACTGACTAAGGACCCGATACATTTCCGGCATGCGATACGGTAAATACCCCTCACCCTCGCCCGTGTCCCCACTTTGTACTACCCGAGAGACGTCTCTCATGAGAAGTGCCCAAGTTACGTAGTACATACTAGTTACATACTAGTACTACTACTGTACTTACATACTCCTATCGACATCGACTCAGAGCAACTCCACGGTTGCAGACTTCCGAATCGTCAATATGCCATACGATCTACAGGGAAAGAAGGTTCTGGTAACGGGCGGCTCGCGGTAAGAACTTGACTTTCCCCCACGCAGGCCGATCCCTTCATCCTTCATTGGCTGGCCCTCGCCAAAGCCAATGAATGGATCAGATTATTCCGAGCTTCAAAACCCGCTTGTCTTATTCTACCTTCCAATCCATGAAACAGATGCTTTCGCTGTACAGAGTACAGTCAGCCAGTACTAGGCACTACCGTGTAGATGTTGTTTCGGCTTCGGAATACTCTGTTCATGCTTGAGAGAGCTGCTGGGCTGACTTCTTCCTCATGATTACTACAGGGGGCTCGGAGAGCTCATCTGTTTCAACTTTGCGCGGGAGGGCTGCGATCTTGCCGTGAACTATGTGGCAAATGCGGAGCGGGCGGAGAACGTGAGGAGGAAGATCGAGGGGGATTATCAAAGGAGGGCTTATGTTATCCAGGGCGTAGGTCTTTTCTACTTCTCATCATACCCTTGCACTATCTTCTTCACGATGGTAGCACGGGATCAGGATCTACTTGGAACAGTGTTTCGTGAATCGATAATGACTGTTTACATAGGATATGGGCGTCGAGGCAGACGTTATCGACACTGTCAAGACAGCGACTGAGAAACTCGGTGGTCTGGACATCATCATCTCTAACGCCGTACATATATATCCCCCGTTTGTTCTTTTTCCCGCCCTTCCCTCTTCACTCCCCCGTCCTCCCGCTGATCGCAAAGTCAGGGCTACACTCGCTTCTCCAAGTTCTCCGACCTCTCTGCCCCCACGGCCGAGGATTGGGACAGATGCTACGCGGTCAACGTCAAGGCCCAGGCCATCCTCATGCGCGAAGCAGCGCCAATCTTTAACGCCAACCCTCAAGGAGGCGTCTTGATCATGACGTCGAGTATCGCTGGCAGGAATTTGGGTGGGAGCTCCATGCCGTACAGCGTGACGAAGGCGGCACAGCTGCATCTGATGAGGTGTTTGGCGAGTACGCAGGGCCCAAAGATTAGGGTCAACGCTGTGTTGCCAGGGCTGCTTCTGACGGAGTGGGTGAGTAGACTATCCCCACGCGAGAAAATACGGGAGGAGATTCTCTGACTTGTGGGATAGGGTCTGTTGTATTCCGAAGAGAGGATCAAGGAGATGAATCAGAAGGCTTCTCTGGGGAAGGATGTAAGTTGAACGAGCAGGGTTTGTGTAATGTATGACTAATAGCGAAAAAGACCGATCTAGGGGATTGTGCTCAGACTTTCGTAGATGTTGCAAAGAATGCTTCGATGACAGGGCAGAAGATACAGGTTGGTTAGTATTTCCTCCTCCTCGCTTAGCAAGACGCCCATATCTGACTTCCATACAGACGCTGGTCTTGGGCAGAACGATTAGAGATCTGAAGGTGATTTTGGCAATAGCTCAAGTGCTCTGGCTAGATATGAATGAATACTATCCACGCTTCGAATATCAGGCTATCAGTCTTTCCACCCCCAAAGAGAAATGGGGGGGTTTTTTTGAACCCATGGCCACTTCTTCGTTTTTTGGATTGACAGCTGATCCTGGCTCGAGTTGACCTTTTGCAATCTGGATCATTCCACAGGTGCAACTGTTCCAAATATGGTGCCGCTCGCACAGAGAAACTCCACCTGTACACTCATTCCCTATATTTGCCGCCTTTTTCTAATAAAAAAAAAATAAAAAAAATAAAAAAAAATCTGCTCACTAACACCATGGCAACAGCCCCATTCAATTCCTTGTGATTGCATACCAAAATCGAGTTATCTGCACCCACTACTGATGGCCTCTTCATTTAACCGATGCGCAATGTGGACATCGCCGGCGGAAAGGCGACTTGACACAGCGACACAGCGACACAGCGACACATTCACCTATGTACGTTTATGAAACGTATTTCGGGAGATTTATTAGTCCAAGTCAGCCGATCAAACCGAGCATACCCAATCCATTAATTCTCATCTCGCTACGAGACCCTGAAATACCGAAGAGCGATGCGCAGGATCCTGAGATGAGTTTCGAGATGGGGGTTTGGACCTTTTCCTTTTTCCTTTTTTTTTTTCTTTCTTCGAAATTGCGCAGGATTTCGCGCGAACATCGTGTCGTCGGGGAAAAAAAAAGGAGAGACAAATTCACGGTGTGAAATGTGCTTAGGAAGGGGCAAGAAGGAAAAAGGTTGGGTATTTTGCAGGCTAATCTAGTCAAACACAGTATCGTACAAGCTGCGTGATATCTTTGAATTCCACGTGGAACATGGTTCGATCTTCTCCAATTTCACAAAGACCTCTCTACCCGTGTACTGAAGCCCTACCGCGTTGGGCATGGAAGGCTCTGTCGTATTCCGCCGCTTCCGCAAACATGGTGCAAATTTTTTGCACCGGTCTCCGTATCAGAAACCTGCAGCCGCGAATATGCCGTCGCCACTATCGTACCGTTCCTGGGCTTTCTGCTCCAGCCATTCCCGTTTGTCGTTGAGGCCGGCGGGTTCAACTCTCCAGATATCCTTCCGGGGTTCGACTGGATGCTCCTCGAGTTTGAGACGCCATACCCAGCTTTTCCTGATGCCTTTCATCGCCGTTTTGGCATCCCTTTTTGGTTGTCCCTCCACAGTGATGTGCCTAACCCGGAGGGCTCCATGCCTGACAGCAAAAATGACCGAATCCTCGTCATTGATGTAGAACACCGGCTTGAGGCCTATATCTAGGGACGGATCTACCGGAGGGGGCTTGGCCGGGACGGCGAAGTGGATACGCTTCCGCTGCAGCCTGATCTCAAGCGGTTCGTAGCCATCAGAGGGGGTCACAGACGGGCCTAATTCTCTCGCCAGCTTCCCATCATCTGCTTCCTCGGCTAATTCTTTCGCTACTTTGCTGGTAGTTGTGAGAAGTTCTGGCCTCTCCACTCTCTCAATGCCATCAAATACGAGACGCAGTTCTTTTCCTGGGGCGATAAGGAAATTGGACCACAGCCGGCCGAGGGCACGAGCACGCGCAGGCGCCTGCCAAGCGACTTCGGGACTGTTGAAACGTATCTTTCTGTCTTCGGATGTAATTTTTGGTGCGCGTTTGATTCTTTTGGGTAGAATTTTTGGGCTCAACCTCGTCAGCAGCGGCGGTAAGAAGATGCGTTCTCGCAAGCTCTGAACAAGTAAACGTGCTGCCTTCGGTGCTATAAAACCGACTAAATCTGGATAAGTGATTCTTTCGTGATCGGGGATCCGGACAGATGTTTGACGCAGGATTATGCCGTGGTCGAATGATTTGTCATCTAGGGTTTGAACAGTGATGCCTGCGTATTTGCAATAGTCCATGATCGTGTGCTGCAGGGGCGAAGGCCCACGATACCTGCGATTTTTGTCAGACCATAAGATAGAGGAGAGGATCGAGAGCCATGTACTGTGGTAACTGAGATGGATGGACGTTTAGACCTCCGTATTCAGCAGCTTTAAGAACTCGCGGGGGAATAAACAGCCCAAATGAAACTGCGATGATGAGGTTGATGGGCTCGCCGTCGGGATATGGCAGCTTCATATGTCAGACAAGGTGACAATGGTTAATGTTCAATCACTTACGTCCCACCCCGTAAAGGTATCTCTCTCATGGGTCGTCAGGCCCAGCTCCTCAGCAACGGCTTTGATGGGCACTAGAAGGTGTCAGAAGTAGAAGGCAGTCTTCTAAAAGAATATCCTCACATTCTCGGAGTTCAGTCATAGATCTCCCACTTCGCTTTGCTGGTCGAAAGAGAACATCGATAGACTTGATCAACTCAGGGTTCTCTACATGCTGGGCATGAAGTGCCCGTAGAGACTCGATACTCATTTCGTCCGATCCACAAAACAAGATCCGAAGTGGTTTAAATGCTCTCGGGGGCAGAAATCTAGCATCGTTTGTTCTCAGGAACCGAACCACAGGTGGCGGTGGCTGAAGAGCATCGGCGATATTGTTATCCTGCTCCAGTCCCCCAGGTTTCGAGATCTGTCTGATTTCATTGTCCTTCTTCCACTTTTCCAACTCGAATTTCAAAGGAAGAGTCGCGGTATCCCTTTCCCTCACCACCTTCTCTGACTCCAGCTTCAGTTTCATGATCTCCAAATTCTTGGCTGTGTTCGCTGCAGGGACCAGCTTCTGAGCTTGATGAACTTTCGTGGCCGGATCTATTCTCTGGGAATTGCAATGATAGCCCTGCCTCCAGGAGAAGAAGGCAGAGACACTCGATCGACTGCTGGCCGCAGGTCTGAGCCTATCCAACGGCATCATCTTGAATATCTTGAATTCTTCGATTCGGTGGGATCCGATGCTTGGAGGCACGTGTAAGTGAGGCTGCTACCTCGCCATACCCGTCCGAAGGTGTGTTGAAGATAGTACTATACGAACTCCATCAGTACGACGATGTCTAACCAGCAAAGGTAGAGAGGATGTGCAGCACGTGAGCTTTGACCAAAAGGACGGCGGGATAGGTAATTTTCGAAGTACCTACGGAGACAGAGCAGTGGATTTTTACTCGGTTCTGGCTCGCCGCAACGCCCCGGTCCAAACAAGCTCCATATAAAAGCTTGGCATAAGTATTCACTGACCCGAGCCGAGCGAGACCTTTGTCTGTCTCACCTGAACTGACATCATGAATTGGAAGTGGCGACAACGTGGACGATACGACAACGAATTTCACTCGAGCGACGACAGCGCAGTTCAACGTCGCTGACGCTAGCACGAACCAGTCTTTCCTCGCTCGATGTGCTAGATCTCCTGTATCGTCCCTCAGCATGCGATGTCGTCGACTACAGAGAACCCTCGACGGGCTGTTCCCGCCCAGTTAGGATTTCTGGCAATTTACAACCCTTCCTTGGGCGCAACAGACGAGACAGTCAAAGATCAGATCGTATACTATTCAACACCTGGGCTGCGAGGGAGGAGCCAAGAGCGATCGAGTACCGGCAACAAGACTGTCGATGATGACGAACGGGAGCAGAATAATGAGCAGTTGAGGCAGGTTGGCCTTGCGCAGGGCATGGTGGAATTTGGCAGGAGTTTCTCGGATGGCAGGGCGGTGGATACAGTAGAGACCGAGAAGTCTCGCATCGTTCTCCATGAGCTGGAGTCCGGGTGGTGGATCTTGGCCGTCAGAGATGCCATCCCTCAGCGGATAGAAACAGACTTGCTAATTACATCTATTTCAGTCCATCAACCTAACGGTTCTCCCAACAGCAAAGGCAGCCACTGCAAAGGGCAAGGAGACAGAGCCTGAACCACTGGAATATTCCTCTCGCGAAGTCAAGCCAGCCATACTGCTTCTGGGTGACCTGCTGCGAGCACACTCAACTTTTCTCCTGCACCATGCGTCCTCGATGAGTGCGCTATTCGTCCGTTATAGAAGATCTAAATTCGTTGGGATTCTGGGCCGCTATTGGGATACATTCCTCACGACGTGGAACGTGCTAATGCATGGCAATCCAGCCAACAATCTCTACGGCGGTATCAAAATTGCCGCTTGTGGGGAACTCGGCGTGGGTGTCGGAGAGGAGGAGCGGGGCAGTGGCGAACGAGAGGTCCTTGAAGGCTTTGTTGGCCGACTTGAAGGACTTGTCGATGTCATAGTGTCCAAATTTGGGGAGGCAGACGACGGTGATACAGAAACGTCTCACCAAAAAGATTCAAAAGAGAACGGCCCAACGGAGCCGTGGCTTGGCTCTGGAAACGAGCCAAATGCAGAGGACGGTGCCATTTTCCTTGGGACTGGTGCATTATCACGAAAATCGCTCCGGGATGTCTCGCACTGGATCGAGGACCTTTACAAATGGGGGCCTTACGCATATGGAGTGATTGATAACCCAAGCTCCAACCGCCGATCGAAGAAGATGAGAAAGGATTTGGCACTGAAGAGAGCAGTCCAGTCTCCTGACAAGAAGAAAGCACGACAGGTTTACGGCCTGACTATCCGTGACAAGATTCACAGAGAGAGCCCTTTGCGCCACGAGAGCCCTTTGCGCCCCGATTTGATGACTGCTGTACCACCAATGCCAGTCAATGATAGTGATGATACAGCTGCTAGCCCGATGTCCAACGAACGCCGAACATCTCTTCAGCGAGGACCATCTAGTTTTACAGGTTCCGAGAGTGATTCACCCGCAATAGGGAACAGACTCGTTCAATACTTGAAATTTGGTTATGGGACACACTGGTCACTAGGCTCAACCCCAAATGATACTCTTAGGAAGCATGAGCGCGCGACAGACTTATCGAAGACACTTCAAACCGTTCCAAATTCTCCGGGAATCGATGGCACGACTGAAACATCAACGAAGGCAGGATCCTCGGGCCATTTTTTGATCGGACTCCTGGGAAACATCGATGAAGACGATATAGAGACTTCTGACGTCAACCCTGAAGGCTTGCCGAGCCGCTCAGAAGAGGACTTAAATTCTAGATTATTACTGCGAACCTTGACCCTCGAATTAGAAAGGGATGAAGATGCCCGAGTTGAGACTGAGATTAGTATCGATCTAGGGGCCCGCAAGCAGTCTCAATCCACGGTCGATGGATCTGAACATACTGGCACCTCCAAGACTTCATTTGAAAGTCAGGATCGAAACAAGACAAAGAAACTACGGGTTGTGGTTTATGTGAAAAAGCCTTTCGTTTTTGTGTTTCTTTTCGAATTGAGATCGGACGCATTGGCAATGACGAGTCTCTACCGCTCCCTACACCATCAGATCAGCTCTCTCATAAAACCTCTGCTTCTCTCGACAGCATACCGAGCATCCATGCCAGAAGTAAGCGCCACTGATGAATCTACCACTCCGATATACGATCTTGTTTGGGACCCGAAACTCCTGACTGTCAATTCAACCATTCCCAATATTCCGGATCCGCTTCAGCCGCAGTCATCCACAGGGTCTTTGCCGTGGTCTCGTATCGATGCACTGAATACACATATGCAAATCGTCAACACCTATGTCGCGACCACTACCGACAGTTCCTCAGTGGAGCGTACTTGCAAGACAAGTCGAGGATGGTGGGTTGTATGGACAAAAATCCCCGACCCAGATCCACCTGAGGTTCCTTCCAGCTTGGAGCGTGGTGTTCCGTCTCTTGTGAAAGAGGACAGCACAGAAAGTCAGATGGTGGGCCCGTTGTTAAGCACCCAGGGCACGAGCACATTCGGTGCGAGTATAATCTCGGGGCCTGCACACCCTTTCCTCGAGAATACCTACGTTGAGTTTGTGCCCAAGGATAAAGAGATATTTTTGATACGAAGGGCGAGCGACCACGCCGCAGCAAGGTTCACAAGCAGATTTCCAAGCGGCTCTTCCATGGTGAACTCTGAAGCTGGCTGGACATCTGGGCCGGGCAAGCTAGCACAGGGTATCGGCGTTGACACGAGGCGATATATTGAAGGTCTATTGAACCTGCATAGATAGATCGTATAATGAAGACCAAATAAACTACTGCCGACACATCAACTGGCTGGGAACAGAGACTCACACTCGCCTTTTTCTACTTCTTCGTGTTGAAGCGCTCGCGTACTCAAGGGCTTGTCGGAGATCGACTCCATTAAGAGATTGATCGGTTTTGGAAGGTGCGACTAGGACTAGTGCAGGTGTATCTCTCTATCGACTGTGATTGGGTGGGTGACATCAGGGTGGACGTCAATGCACGGGTATTAAAACCTGAGAATGGTGCTTCCCCAGATCATGACGTAGGTAGCTGTCAAAAAGCAAGATGATCCATTTCGTGACTAGAAAAAAATAAACATCGGAGCAAGAACCAAAACTCACTTGCATCCATATTTCTTCGTTCAAATACCACTACTCGGTCTGAAGAAGAACACTATGGTAGCAACCAAGGACCTGAGAGCGGAAGCCCTCTTTTCCATGAAAGGCCATGTGTGTCTCACCACAGGGGGCGGAACAGGAATTGGCTTGATGTAAGATGATTTACTTCCGCTTGGCTCTGTGTACAATGAGCAATATTGATATTCATAGGGCAACCCAAGCGCTCGCAGCCAACGGAGCGAAAGTCTACATCACCGGCCGCCGCATGGAAGCTCTCGAGAACGCAGCCAAAACCCACGAGCCCTCCCTGGGCGGTCAGATCATCCCGTACGATGCTCCCTTCCCAGGCATCCTCAACGTGGAGTGTAATGGCTGACGAAGAAAGCAGCATCGGACCTTGCGACGTGACCGAAAAGGAAGACCTCGAGAAGCTCGTCGCGGAGATCGAGGGGAAGGAGAAGTACCTCAGCCTGCTCGTCTGCAGCGCCGGCATCTCGGGCCCCAAGGCAGAGCCGGAGAGCGAGAAGGCTACGGAGTTGAAGAAGACGTTGTTTGAGGGGGAGAGCTTCGGGGAGTGGTCTGATACGTTCAAAACCAACGTTTCTGCTGTCTACGTAGGTCTCATGATCAACTGAGGCTGGAGAGTGTGAAGCAAGTATGGTAAGCTGATACAGTGGGCTTCTACAGTTCACGACCGTGGCCTTCCTCCCGCTCCTCCAAGCAGGCCGCGAGTCCCACGGTCACCTGTCCGCCTCTGTCATCGTCATCTCGTCCATGTCAGGCATCATGCGACACGCGCAAGGCCATTTCAGTTACAACGCCGCCAAGGGCGCGACGGTCCATCTGTCGAAGCTGATGTCGTATGAGTTCAAGAAGGCGGGGATCAGAGTGAACAGTATTGCGCCAGGCTACTTCCCGAGCGAGATGACGACGGGGGAGAGTGGTGCGGATCAGAAGAGCGAATTGCCGGATGAGAAGATAGAAGAGAAGGGGCATGTGCCTGCGAATCGAGCGGGTAGTGACGAGGAGATGGCGCAGGGGATTATATTCCTGGCGAAGAACAAGTATGTCAACGGGGAGGTGATTGCCATTGATGGTGGTGTGTTGCTTGAGGTTCCTGGGAGATGATGGTTTGGGAAGCCAGGGACGAGAGATGAAGGTTGCGAATTGAAAATACGGTGGGAGTGAGGTTACTGAGGGATTTGGCGAAACCTCAGATCATGAGCATTAACATGTTAGGTATCTGAGCCGAGCTTAAGCTTCCAGCAAAGAAACGCTTTCCATTCATCTCAATTTATAAACTCCCAGCCTGTTCGTAGCACATATCGTCGTTATCATTGGACGGATGGCCCCGGTATAATTCCTGACTCTTGCCCTCGCGCATGAATCTCAATATCCTCTTGCAACTCCCTCGCCATCTCCCCATCCAAATACAAAGGCTCCGCTTTCAGCCTATTAGCTTCCCTTCTGTACATCTCCGCCTCCTCCAAATTTCCCCCCTCATCCATCTTTAGCTTCACTTTCTCGCTTATGTCTTTCCCGGTAGCAGCAGTCCGCAACTCGATGGCCCTGGCTTCTTTCAGCTCAGCTGATCTCTCAAATTGCAGAGCTTGGTCATGCAACTGCTCCGAAATTTCTATAGATGGCATTGGGTAGGCTCGTTTCTGATCGAAGGGCCAGCCGGTATGCGCTACTGCAATTCCAGGAGGCTTACGCGGCATTTGACTACCTCCTCTGCCAAGAGATAGATAGACCTTTCATGAATGGAGTTGATACCAACCGACCGGACAGAGAGCTCGGTGCTTGAGTGGGAGGAGGCACGAATGGAGTTGCCCTCGGTATTGGTTCCATACCTGCTGGGTCTGAAGGCGAGGCATCAGGTCCAGGTACTCCGCGGGACATCCAAGGAGGGCCAGTCCCTGCAGCGCCTGTTGGTCCGCATCTCTTGTCCCCTCCCTTTCCTTTGCCTTCTCTCTTCAATCTCTTCGCCTTCTTCCTCAATAAACGTCGCTCCTTTCTCGGGGCTTTCCGTACCAATCTTCGTCCCTTTCTCGCGTCTCTTCGCTCCTTCCTTTGTGCCCTTTTTGCGTCTCTAAAGATCTTCGTCAAGTCGTTGACTTCTTTTCTCAGGGCTTACAAATCTCGGCCTTTTTGCAGAGACACATCCTCCTTCGCTAAATGGATCTCTGGTCGCATATTTCTCACAATCTCTTCCGTGATCGGCTGATTCAGCCATTCCATCAAGCACTGCTTGACGACGGGCAGCTGCTGGTTCTTGAGGTCCTCATTGTCGGGAAGGGACCCTACTGACAGGTCCAACTCTGAAGAGCTTGTACTTGACGAGCTAGAGTCACTAGAAGGTGATAGAGACCCCCCACATCCTTTACGACGTTCGTCGTGAGAACGTGAGCGACCACCGTGACCTTGAGAGTCATGGTTGCTCCTCTCTACATCTCGGGGCTCTCGACGTCCCCAAGATATTCCGCCTCAGCTCGACTCGGTCTCATCTGCGTTGAGCCCTCGTCTCCCACCTAGCCTAAAGCCGTTCGAGTCAGCAACGAGCAAGATTCCTAGTCTGAAGCCACTGCTGTCCGCCTGTCTCGCGTTGATTATGCATCCCAGAGAAGAGTTAATGGTATACCTACTCTCAGTCCATTCTTTCCAATTCGGAACCCATCATTATCTGAGCTCGAAGTTAGTACTTACAGCATGCATGGTATATCATGAAAATGGAAGTATTATGTCTCATGAAGATAAGCTAGACTGAGACGGAGAGCCGAACAGGATATACAAAAATAGATGAGAAATTATTCGCACCTGCAAAAATAGGGCCCATCTTGAAGCCGTCTTGTGAACGAACTGTACGTGAATAGAAATTTGTCGGAGATAGGAAAGACTGTGAGGCACAGGCCAGCGATGAACGTGAGATGAGAGTCGAGATGGTACTTTTTTTGCCTTTGTAAGTTCCCCCCAGACAAGCCAGCTGCAGCTGAAGGGGGCTCAAATTGCCGATATTCTAGCAGTGTTCTCCTCGCTGAAATTCGTTCAACAATAGCCGCGCCCCTGTAGAGCGTACCCACCCTTTTTACGGAGTAACAAATATCAATCATGAGAAGCTACAGGCACTTGTCCTCAGATCACCCGCGGATGAAGTCTTTCCACGTAGTGTCATGCAGCGTACAGATTTGCGCTTGCAATTCTCGTCAGTTGAGCTGACAGGTGGAATTACGAATCTTGTTTTAAAAAAAGCTCGAATTTCACTTTCGTTTTCGGCTGTCACATTTGAAATTGTATCTCTCGTGAAAGCCAATGCCTTTGAATTTGTTAATGGTACCGAGTTTGTCTTCAAATAGAAGACGGTGGTGCGAAGGTAATGGTTCCCGAAGCTCGATTAATGCCAGCCAAATTGTGGTCCTATCCCGGTATACCTGGTCTGGATGCGATAGCAGCATCCTAGTGAGCCCCCAAGTACAACCATCTCCAACTGGCTGCAAAGACTGGGCTCTGGAGCAGAAGTGCCGAATCTGCTCGGCCAGAAGTCCTGTGGCTTGATTATCGAGCATAGTGACCCTTTCTTCGTCTGACTATGGTCCACGGGGAACGACTGCTCCATGCCCAGCTGGGTCCAGGCGACCTTGATATTGACTCGTACCGACAAGCTCACAAGTGCAGCGTACTAAGACTTGCCTATCGTTGCTGGCAAGTGTAGCGACCCCGTAGAAGGACCCTGCTCAAAACTGTAATTCAGGCTTGTGGAAGTTGATATCTTCTGTCTTGTAGTGGTCGGCGACAATCCTGTAAAGGTATGATGGAGCATGTGCGCCTCTAAAATTAGGGATTAGCAGTGAAACTCAACAGAAATATCGTGACCTATCGTGACCTACAGGTTGGTAATGTACAGATCTACCAGATCGGGAGGTACATAGTCATACACTGGATTGTCGACCTCCAGGTTCTCCACCAAAGTTCCATTGTCGTATCCGACAATGCTTCCTGGGTTTCCATACTCGATGAGAGATTCAAATTCGAATGGATACTCCGGACTGAGCTTATAAACTCCGCTAACAACGATGACCGGTGTCCGGTGTACCCTAGCAGCCTTCGCGATGATACGTGCGCCAGCAGCAGCTATCAAACCCCCGTTTGCAATGACAGCGTGCGTAGCCAGGATGACCTTGTTGACCCGGGACATGATAGCGAAAATCGAAGCATCAGTAATAAGGATTACCGTAATTCCTGCAGCAGACAGTGGTTTCAAGAAAGTGTCTGGCCTCATTTCATCTCCGTCTTCATCCTGTCTGAGCTTTCCAATTACTGCAGAATGAGTACCCTCGTGGTCATTTGGGTAGGACTCCGCAATTATGACGGTGAACTTGCGCTTCTCCGCTGCCTTGAGTAGGAATTTTTGCACACTGAGTGAAGACGAGTGTGTAAGGATAACTTCGTTTGAATGGATATGCTCCTGCGCATAGGCCGCGATTTGGTCGTCTACCTGGTCTAGCTCATCAATGATCTCTTCGATCCCACTGACGACCTCTGCCTTCAAATCCTTCGTAGTAGTGGTAATTCGCTGTGACAGAGAAGAAGCGTTGAAAGAAGTCTTTCCATTCGGTGAACACAGTCCTGTCGGAGTGGATGTTGGTGATGCAGTAGCCGACAGAAGGTTAAACATCGACTGCGCGACCTGGATGCCATTCAGGACCGCATATGATTGATGGGAAGTCGTCAAAGGAGGCCTAGGTGCTGCTACAGATCTGCTGCCAAATAAGTCGTCTCTATTTGAATCCGCCAATTCCGATAAGCTGCTCTTTTCTTCCCGTGGAGAGCCTAAATTCGATGCCGAATCGCTACCATCTTCGGTTCGATCCTCTTTCGCCTCGTCCCTAATCATTCCCAAGACTCGTTGGACTATGTTCCCTACGACCATTTCTCGGGGTTGCGCTTCGATTAGACGTTGTCCAACCTCTTGGATGCGCACCAACAGTTTTCCGATATCTACCCATTTATGTTTTGCGACGACGCGAAGCAGCAGATGAGCTGTCGCTATTGCGCACGGCCTGGAGTTCTTGATCTGTCTTCTTTTGAGAAGCCTACGAATATTAGCTGCAAATCGCGTCCATGTTGGGGGGGTAGGAGGACGCACGAAATCAAGTTCTCGATGGAGGACTCCAGCGACGACGCCTTGAGCGACTTCAGAAATATGCCCAGGTTTGGCGCGTAGCCAGTCTGTATTGACGGCATGTGTGTTTGCTGGCTTTCGAAGCCGGGAGTTGGAATGTCGTGGGTTCTGGGAATTTGCGTAGAATATCTTTCCGGAATCTGTGATGTGCAGTTGGTAACGGCTTGAGAATTTGTTGAGGTGCTTAAGATCCAGTAGGATGATCAGTGTCAGGAAATTTACTTGTAGTTTTAATATCCGTGGACAGAGGGGTGAGTGAATCGAATGTGTCACTGGCTGACTGGTGAATAAATTCCCAAGGTGAATCAAGAGCTACAAGTGAGTGTGTACTGTACGAGTAGCGCCCCGGCCTCCGATGCAGGGATCTTCTTGGACATGTCCATCCATAACATACGGTACACTGCACCCTTTCGCTGTCTTCTCACACATGAAGCTCAACAGTTGTTCCAGAATCCGTTCTTTGTTCGGAGTCTATTTCTTTCTGCGCTGGACGTCTTGACCCTCGCCAGCATCCCACTCGCGCCCTCTAAAGCTCCGAGCACTCGAACAGCTCAGCTTACGTAGGGCGGCGACTGCGACCGACAATCGCGTTCTCAGCGCCCGGAAACGAGGCGCGTGAAAAACAGTTACCTCTCTGCGGGCTGCTCTCTAGATATCCAGAGGCTGCGGCGCTCTACTTGCTCTTGAAGCATCATCCAGCGCTGCTCAACATTGTCAACAAAATCGCAACCTCCTTATGGCTCTGAGAGTACGATGAACTCTCTGAACAGGCTCTCGGCGCGAGTGTCTCCACCGCAGACTCCTTTACCCTCGAGGAGTAACTCATACGGGAACATATTCTCTTCTGCGAGTGGGTCGGAGTCAAAGAGGAACTCGCAGGAGGACTTAGTTGACGAGAAATCTGGGTACCTGCGAGATGCTACAACAGCCGGCTCAGCCGGTGGTGGACATGTCGATGAAGATACAACGCTCTTAGAGAAAGAGGAATCCGAAAATAAAGATCAGGAGGGTATAGGATGGCGCCTCACCCCTCAACGAATCTCGGCCGTTTTTATCGAATCAATCCGCTGGCTTCTTTCCACAATAGCTGCGCCAGGTGTGTACCTCATAGCATGTCTCTATGACGAACGGGGAAGCTTTGCGCCCTTCTCTCGGATGCGAAAAATGGGATCAAGGCCTGCCTCTACTGCGCAAGCGCTGGGAATCACTTCTTCGGATGAGGGGTATTCTGGCGGTAACCAAAATGGTGGTAAGAGCGCAAGTGGGAAGGGGACAACAGCGAAAGGGAAGGGCTTCTTGTCGAACTCATCCTCCTCAGGCCTTTCGTCTGAGTCTGAGTCAGACCGTGATCAATTCATGAGCGAAGCAGAACTGGGCGTGTCTTCTAGTAGTGCTCGTCATGCACGCTCGAAATCGTTAAAAACCGCAGATGAGATTGCCCCTGCAAGAAGATCTATCCGCATCAAGCTCCATAATGAAGATAGTTTGCGGCATCGGAAGCATCGAACGACACAATCAACAAGTACACAGAGCAATGGATCCGGTGCTATTGCCGGGGAGATTTCACCTGCGACTCTCAAGTCTCCTACGTCCCCAGCCTCTTCTCTCCTAATGACCAAATATCCTCGTGCTCCAGCGCCGCCTAGGCCTCTCATTCCCCGCCGTCAGCCATCTTACACACTCTCAGATATGCCTAGCATGAAAAATTTCCAGAAGACCCTGATTCTTGACCTTGACGAAACGTTGATTCATAGCATGGCAAAGGGAGGGCGGATGAGTACTGGCCATATGGTCGAAGTTAAGCTCAACACGGTTGTTGGTGCTGGTGAGAACGCCGTTCCCGGCCCTCAGCACCCGATTCTCTACTACGTTCACAAGAGACCACACTGTGACGACTTTCTACGACGAGTGAGTAGTTTATTCATGCAACCCGAACACACTGACACCTTTTAGATTTGTAAGTGGTACAACCTGGTCATTTTCACAGCGTCTGTTCAGGAATACGCAGACCCTGTCATAGACTTCCTAGAAACGGAACGCAAATTTTTCTCTGGTCGATTTTATCGACAGCATTGTACATACCGCCACGGCTCTTTCATAAAGGATTTGAGCTCTGTGGAACCGGATCTGAGCAAGGTCATGATCCTGGATAATAGCCCTCTCAGCTATATGTTTCATCAAGGTAAACCAAACTCCAAACTCTTCTAAATACACCTAACAGAAGACCAGACAACGCGATACCCATAGAAGGTTGGATCAGTGATCCGACGGACAATGATCTTATGCATCTAATACCGTTATTGGAGGGCTTGCAGTACGTCACTGATGTACGAGCTTTCTTAGCTTTGCGAGGAGGGGAGGATGGTAAGCATATAGCGTAGTAGCAGAATTGTACTCACTAGTCCTTTGTTTCCCCGAAATTTCTGGGTAAATTTCTTCATACATACTTAACTTAAGGTGAGCAAGGTGATGTCGCATGACGAGCGCGGGAGCTTTGTATGATCAGGCTGAATGCCACATGTTACCAGTGCGGCTTGCTGTTGCCGATTGGCCAAGTCCAGCTCGTCACCTAGCATCTGTGGCATTTCGCAGTCAGAGTAAAATGATCAAATAGTCTATGGAGGATTCAGTCGACTTCTCGGTTACTAAAGCCGTCTAGCAGCCGAGAGTGAATGTTTCATCGACAGCCTACTTCCTGGAGTGGATAGCATGTTCTGGTTTTGTTGCATGGCGCAGTGAGAGTCGAAATCGCTCGGGGACATTCAAAGTAGCTGACTAGACCCTTGATAGCATAGCATAGTATGGCATAGCATAGCATAGCATAGCATAGCCTGCCTGCTTGGCCAGATATAGCGCCCCGCAACCTCCTTCCCGGGCGGAATGACTTGGGCTATGGAGTTAGGAAAGTTCGCGAATTGCTTGCACAGGTCCGCTACTATCTGCTTTGGATGACAATCATCATCGGCAATTACCCATCCAGTATATTATCACGTGCAGTCAGCTTGAGGCAGGCGACGTTTGGTAGAGGTGGACTTTCAAAAACATAGATGTCCACTTGCAAGGAACCGTCTGTAAATAAGGTATTTGACGTCTATTGCTGTAAATTTGAAGGCGGCAGTACATCGCTAGAGATTCTTTCTGTGGAGGTGATTGTAATCTCACGAAGAATCGGAAAACAGATATATATCACGAATTCGGCAAGAAGGCCTTTCGCTGCTCGCTTCTGCCAGGCGCCGTCAAAAAGCTTCGACGAGAGGGGAGAGGAAATCCAGGCCTCGGCTTATCTGCATTGAAGATACGAAAGACAAAATTCTTTATCTCATACCCAATTGGTATCGTCTGCCCCCTAATTTCTCCCCATGCCTCTTTGATCTTTGAGCAATTCCAGTGTGCAGTCCTTGAAGATCAAGGTGTTGTTGATAACTACTCGCTTGTCGCCGGTCGAGGCGCTAACCTAGTGACCCCGCTGCGGCCGCGTCCCCCACCATGGAGCTAAGATTTTCGCATGAGGCTGGCTCGCAGGGAGTCACCTACTCCGTAGAGCTACACAACTTCACAACCACGAAACATGGAATTTTTATGACCCTCTTCGAATCGCAAACTGAAAACCTCTCACGACCCACTCGCATTATTGCGACACCGCGATGCAGGCCAATTCGACCGGTAGCGGAATTGTCAAGGCGCAAGTCGTTGACAATGTGCCCAAGAGTAAATATTTCCTAGCGCTTGCTGGAGAACCGCGACAGCTAACACGCCGTGCAGAATTTTCGTCACTCAAATTTGGTATCCAGTAGGTTTTCCCCAGCGGCGTCTCAGCGGTTGTCTAACATGAGCCTAGATCCAATACTCAAATCGTCAATCAAGCAGTCCTCGAAGTCTCGAATACCCTGCTTTACGATGTCGAAAAGATGCGGAAACCCATGCCCAATGGGCCCTTGGATCCCAGACTAGTGAGGACAGATCACAAGGGACAGTAGGATTATTGACTGATGTTATTTGTAGGGAACCTCGAGCAAGAATGGAACTTGCGGGACTTGCGGCGATATTCTGGCGAATTGCAATGGTCACTTTGGTCATATTAGATTGGCTTTGCCGGTCTTCCACATTGGGTACCTGAAGTTGACTATGAAATTTCTGCAGGAAATCTGCAAGGTATGCCACTCAGAATCTCAACAGAAACTTGAACTGATCCAGCGGCCAGGAATGTGCTCGTGTTCTTCTCACCGATACCGAACGACGAAGCTTCCTTCAACGACTTCGAAAACCTGGGATCGATAATCTGGAACGTACAAGGATTTGCAAGAAGATCAACGAGCAATGTCGCAAGGCTAGAACATGCCCTTATTGCGATGCGGTTAATGGACAGATCCGGAAGGTCGGAATTGTCAAGTTAGCCCACGACAAATATCAAGCATTCAACAAATCTACTGCCCAGAAGAAGGTCCCCCCGCCATCCTTGCTTACATACCAAAAGTCATTCGAGGAGGCGAAGAAGGCAAATCCGGAGCTAGAGAAGCACATGAAGAAGGCTATGGATGATCTCAACGCACTGAGAGTTTTGAATCTATTTAAGATGATCACACCTAGTGACTGCGAGCTTCTTGGTCTCAATCCCTTGGAGGGGAGACCTGAAATGTTCATCTGGCAGTTTGTCCCGGCCCCACCAATCTGCATTCGACCATCTGTTGCCCAAGAGAATGCAAGCACTGAAGATGATCTCACTACAAAGCTCGGAGAAATAGTCCAGGTCAGCTCCTTGATTCGAGCAGCTCTGCAACGAGGACAACCAATCCAGACCATCGTGGAGCAATGGGATTTCCTCCAAACAGCAATTGCTCTATACGTGAATAGCGATGTTCCTGGTCTCCAAGATAAGGGCAACGGAAAACCAATGCGGGGATTCTGCCAGCGTCTGAAAGGAAAGCAAGGTCGATTCAGGGGAAACTTGTCAGGAAAGCGTGTGGACTTTTCGGCGCGAACAGTCATTTCTCCAGATCCAAATCTTGGCATTGATCAAGTAGCTGTACCCATCTTGGTTGCTATGAACATGACCTACCCGGAGCGTGCCCAGAAGAACAATATCGAAAAGTTACGGCGGCTTGTTAGAAATGGCCCTTCGAAGCATCCAGGTGCTCAGCAGATCATAAAGAAGGGCTCGGATCACAAAATTTCGCTGAAGTTTGCTCGCCGGGAAATCGAAGCTCAGCATCTGAAAATTGGTGATGTGGTTGAGAGACATCTGGAGGACGGCGATATAATCTTGTTCAACCGACAGCCTTCACTTCACAAGCTAAGTATCATGAGCCATTATGCCAAGATCAGACCCTGGAGAACCTTTCGGCTGAACGAGTGTGTGTGTAATCCTTACAACGCCGATTTCGATGGCGACGAAATGAACTTGCACGTCCCCCAGACTGAGGAGGCCCGGACAGAAGCTATTAACCTCATGGGAGTGAAGAACAACCTCTCTACGCCGAAGAACGGAGAGCCGATCATTTCAGCAACCCAGGATTTTATCACTGCTGCTTACCTATTAAGCAGCAAGGAGAATTTCTTTGACCGCAAAACCTTTACGAACCTCTGCATGTACATGGTCGATGGTAATACCCACCTCGATGTGCCTCCTCCCGCTATCATCAAGCCGCAAGCACTCTGGACCGGGAAGCAGGTCTTCAGCGCTCTGATGCGCCCAAACAAGAAATCTCCTGTGAAGGTCAATCTAGATGCGAAATGCCGAGACTACCAATTCGTACCAGGACAGTGTCCCGACATGGATATAAACGATGGTTGGTTGGTAGTCCGCAATTCAGAAGTTATGTGCGGCAGAATGGACAAAACCACTGTTGGATCCGGAAAGAAGGACTCGATATTTTATATAATTCTCCGAGATTTTGGTCCCGACGAAGCTGTTCTAGCCATGAATAGACTCTCCAAGATTTCTGCCCGATACCTCACCAACATGGGCTTCTCAATCGGTATCAGCGATGTCTATCCGTCCAAAGATCTTACCGCAGCCAAATCAAGACTAGTGTTGAAGGCTTACGCGCAGAGCGAGGATCTGATCCAGCAGTTTCAGAATGGGACGCTGCAAAAGTCGACAGGATGCAATATGGAAGAAACTCTGGAGAACGTGATCTCGGGTGTTCTCAGCAAAGTCAGACAATCTGCCGGTGAGTATTGCATATCGACACTCAGCAAGTGGAATTCGCCCCTCATCATGGCCAAATCCGGGTCCAAAGGTTCGACCATCAACGTCGCCCAGATGGTGGCAGTTGTTGGACAACAGATTATCGGAGGCAAGCGTGTCCAGGATGGTTTCCAGGACCGAACTCTGCCACACTTTCCCAAGAATGCACGTCAACCTCCCTCGAAAGGTTTCGTCAGAAATAGTTTTTTCACGGGTCTCAGACCTACTGAATTCTTGTTTCACGCTATTTCGGGTCGTGAAGGTCTGGTCGATACAGCTGTCAAGACCGCCGAGACTGGATACATGTCCCGAAGATTGATGAAATCGCTGGAGGATTTGTCGACCCAGTACGATGATACCGTTCGAAACTCGTCTGGTATTGTTGTTCAGTTCCAATTTGGCGCCGATAAGCTGGATCCTGTTGATATGGAAGGCTCTGCCGTACCGGTTCATTTCCAGCGTACTTGGACACACGCAGAAGCTTTGACATGGAACAACGATGATAGAAGCCTATTGCCGTATGAAATCACCGCGCGATGCATTGATCTGCTGGCGCAGCAAAAATCAGGTTACGATAGACAGGATCTTTTCGGCAAGCCACTGGCTTATGATGACGACACCCCAATCAACACCGACGAATTTGAAAGCGCTCGTGAATTCTTGGTTACCATTACCAAATTCGTGGATGGTCTGGCTTCTCGCCTGGCCAAAGCACGACAAAAAGTAGGACTGCACGATTTTAAGGATCCGCCAGGATTAGGCACCCCTCAAGATGATTCAAAAGACGACCAGCGAAAGAAAGACTACTTGAACCAAGTTGCCAAGGTCTCACTCCCAACTCTTAAAATGTTCATCACATTATGCTTAAGCAAATATGCCAAAGCACATGTTGAGCCAGGCCATGCGGTGGGTGCGGTTGGGGCACAATCCATTGGAGAGCCAGGTACACAAATGACCCTGAAGACTTTCCATTTTGCTGGTGTCGCAGGTATGAGTATCACCCAGGGTGTACCTCGTATCAAGGAAATCATCAACGCCTCAAAAGTTATCAGTACGCCTGTTATCAGTTGCCCTCTGGAAAACGAGAGAGAAATTCAAGTCGCAAGGATCGTAAAGGCTCGTATCGAGAAGACTTATATTTCAGACGTCATCCGCTTTATCGAAGATATGTGGTCGGCTAAAGCTGCAACTCTCTGTCTCTCTGTCGACTTGGATTATCTCAACGAGATGCAGTTGGGGATCACAGTTGAGGATATTGCTCAGACCATATGCATGAACAAAAAGCTGAAGATCCGTGGCACCGATGTCACTGTATCTCACGAATGTATCTTTGTCAATGTCACATCTGAGAGTGGTGGTAATCTCGGTGCTCGTGGCGCTAAGAACAAGGCGTACGTTGACGATGGTAGCTCTGACGTTCTCCTTCGCGTCAACTTCCTCAAGCGTACTTTGCCAACCATCACAATCTCTGGCTACCCCGACGCAACTCGAGCCATCGTTCAGGTCTCCGAAGATGAAACAGTCCATACTGTCCTTGTCGAGGGTTACGGGCTCCGCGCCTGCATGACCACGGAAGGAGTTGTCGGCAGAAGAGTCACCAGCAACAGCATCATGGAAGTGAACACCGTTCTCGGCATCGAGGCAGCCCGATCCACCATTGCTACGGAAATTGGTGCTGTCATGGGCGACATGGGTATCGACCCTCGACACATGCAGCTCCTAGCCGACGTCATGACCTACAAGGGCGAGGTGCTCGGCATCACCCGTTTCGGTCTCTCCAAGATGCGGGACAGTGTGCTGCAACTGGCCTCCTTCGAGAAGACTCCGGATCACCTGTTTGACGCCGCGGCGGGCATGAAGACGGATCTCATTGAGGGTGTCAGTGAGTGTATCATCATGGGCCAGACGATGAGCGTTGGCACGGGCGCCTTCCAGGTCGTGAGAAAGCTGGGCCTTCAGCCGGAGGACACCAAGATGAAGCCGACTCTGTTCGAGGACGAGTGGAAGGAGGATCTGGCTGAGCGCAAAAAGATCCGGCTGGAAGCTAAGAAGCAGAATACTGAGAATGGAACGGAGTTTTGATCTTGGAGTTTTGGGCTGGAAATTCGGGCGTTGCGTAGCTGGGTGGCGTTTTCGTATCTTCCCAGCTCTAGTGGTCATTTGGCGTTGGTTGATATATCCGACTGCGGCCGTTTGGCTATGCTGAATGCATTTGCCAAGAAGATATATTGTAGTAGAGAAGCGAGACCAAAGATTACGATTTAATTCCCGTATTTTTCAATGCAGTCAAGTAATGTTGATTTCATATATCCACCACCCAACTTGGCTGTGGCCAACGTTCGGCCATGCTCGACAAACAACACGGTGACAAACGAGAAAGCGATAGTTCATATTTTGATTCCCTCAGACCTGAACCCCCAACTAGTAGTACTGTTGTCCTATTCATGCAACCTCGTCACCCATAACTTCATTGTAATCTTGCACACTGCTCAGTTGCCCAGCTCACGCCAAAACAAACTCAGCACTCATGCCCTCAAACGCCGTAACTGTCCCACCAAACGCCTTCGCATCCCCAAAATACCTAATCCGATAACGCCCAGCCTCCGCCCACTCCTCCGTCTCCCACAAAATCTGGACCTCGCTGGTCCCCAGGATTTTGCTCGTCCTCTTCCAGCTGAAGACCAAGGCCCAGTCGCTATCGTCACGGACCCTCTCCCACCGAATTGGCTCCGGGACGAGCTTCTCGATCGCGGCGTACGTCTCCTCGAGACGGAGGGAGTTGCGCGGGTTGGCGCCGACGAAGGTGGCGGACACGACGTCGCCGATGGTGTAGGCGGGTCTGACGTCGGTTTTTACGGCGCCGAAAGTTTTGAAGTAGGGTGTGCGGTCGTAGACGACGCCGGTGATGAAGGAAAGGGAGCGGTTGACGTTGTTGGGTGGGGAGGGACCTGGTGATAGGCGGGATGTGGAGGATGGGGCGAGGTAGGGGAGGTAGCTGAGTGTGAGGTTGATGTAGGCGTTTAGTGTGTGTGGGCCATAGAGTGTGGAAGCACCTTCGTAGCGCTGGATGCCGTACTCTTCTGGTGTAGCGATGTAATGGGTATAACTGTTTGCTGGGCCACCGATAACTACTACAGGATCGACGGACGAAGAGCCGGACAGTGTAAGCGAGGAGGCAGAGTTTTGAATGGCCTCCTTCCAGCGACGACCAGCCATTGTAGTAGCCTCTCCTGGACTAACGATGATCACGAACTGACCAACCCGCAAGACTTGGATATCGACTACATTAGGTGTCCAAAGGTACGGAGATTGAAGCTCTCCGACATCCAGTAGTATAGGCTTGGGATAGTGGCAGCGCTTTTGTGCCTCGGTGGGCTCCTTAATCAACCCCGAGACCACTCTCCAGACAGGTGAGGCACTGGGAGACTCAGGATCGTTCTGAGTGAAGTCAAAAGCACCAGGTCCATCAGATGTTCCTGCCGCGAAGGAGTACCCCAGTGCCGCTGGACAGGTATGGGCGTAGCTTCCATTGGCTAAAGGGAAGCTGAAATTTGACATATCTTGGAATGTGTGGAATGACTTGACGGAAGATCCACTGATGGGTATTCCCTTCTCATCAAGATGATCGTACAGAGCCCTTGCAGGCTCGAACTGTCTCTTGCCAATCTCATAGCAAGAGGATGCTCCGTTGTCCTTGACTCGGAAGAAGGGTCCACGAGCATGGCAGAATTGACTTCTGCCATTGCTGCAAGTGCTGTTTCTAAAGCTACACTCCTTGCCAGAGCCATCTTCACACCAAGCTCCAAGAACATTCGGACTGGTATCTCCAACATTGGCCTGGGAGAACCCAGCGACAAACCCATCAGCAACATTGTCTTCAACCGAGAAGCTCTTCTCGAACAAATCCGCTGCAACGCCCTTGTTGTCCCCCGAGATAAGAGTGTTGTTCCCCAACATCGAAGTCCCATGCGTAGGGAACCAAGTGAGCACACCCGTATTCTTGCCATCGGAGGCACGTTGGAATCTGAGGAGCGTCAAGGTTTTCTCAACCGAGCCATCGTCCTCGGCACTCTCGTTATACTTTGCTCTCTCGCTCTCCGGATTAGCGAGATAAGAATACAAGCTTCTGTTGATATTGGCGCCATAAACTTTGGTGGACCCCACACTCAAGTATCCCGGCTGCAAGCTCCGATGAGCTCTCTCGATGGAGAGGATAGCACCGTTTACAATAGCCCTATAACTCTGCTTATCAAATCCTTTGCTGGTTATTTGAGGCAGCAAGTAGTTCAACCAAGCCCCCGGACCAGAATGCGAATGGGTTCCTGTCACGGCAACATTGCTCTGTGCATACATCGAAAATTCAGGTCCGAGCTTGGACAAGCCTTCCAGGATGCCATATCTAACTGCAGTGTCTCCAGACTGTGTATCAAGGACTAGGTAAAGGAATCGATCCTCCGGACGCTTCAAATCTCCTACGATGAAGGCTCGAGAGTAGAGACGTTGCCTGAGTCCAGAGCCGACTTGATCGGGATCCGCATATCCCATCATGTTGATTTCGACAACCGGTCTAGACAGCATTAATTAGCACGTGGATCAACGTCAGGAGATTCAAGCAGAGTACCGGTACAGCATACCCAGTGATATCTGCCTTGCCAACACCCAGCAAGTATTTACTCCCCTTCCCACTCGTCTCCTCACTCGCATCCAAGGACCAAGTCTTTCCATGAAGCCCATCTCTGCTCGAGTTCCCCCAGCACCTCTTCAACGTCGCGCACCCAAGCAGCACTATCACGACCCCAGCCAGAGCTTTCAGCCAAGCTCCCTTCTGTCTTCGCCACTGCGAACTCTCCTTTCCGGAGCTCCACTCAGGCTCTGGCTCTGGCTCTGACGCTGACGGACCGGCCTTCAGTTCCGGGGACTGTTTTTCCATTCTGTCCATGAGGATCGAGGCGAATTGGGAGACCTCGGCTAAGTATGTAGGATGTTTCAAGTCATTGTTGGCTGTGGAGTCAAGCAGTACGGTTTGTGGCTGGACTGGCAGCCTCGAGCGCAAGGCAACGAACGCATCCTCTATACACCCGGTGGTTTTATGTACGAAGCCTCACAATTAGATGCAGATTGGGGATATCATGTAAAGGATTGTCTTTATGTAACCCCCCATTTCCAATCAAGTGCCTTGTCCGGATTCTCCACAATTGGAATTGTCAATGTCTGAAAATCCGAGACATTGGATCAACATCAATCAGCCTCGCTCGCCAAAAAAAAAAGAGTATCTCGGCTCCCCAGAACAAAACCCACCACCTCCATTCTCAACACCACCCCCAACGGCAACAATCCTTCCAAACACCCACACCCACACCCACCTCACACATCAGCAACAATGCCCCTCACAAACGCCATCCACGAGTCCCTTCCCTACATCGACAGCGAGCCCACCCCCTCCGAACGCTCCGCAGCCCTCGCCCTGATCCTCGCCGAAGCAGACGCACTCACCACCACCACACCAGCCAACCCGCACCCCTCGCAGCCCGCGCTCCCGCCCTCGAACCTCTCCCCGCTGATGCAAGCCGAGCACGCACGCATCGAGTCCCAAAAGCCCCTGGCAGCAATAACCACAGCCCACTACGAAGAACTCGACGCGCCCTCCTCCCCCTCCCCCAACCCGGACAAGAACAACAACAACAACAACAGCAAAGAGATCCAAACCGCCTGGCTCACCGCCCTCTCCCAATCCGCCACCGCCTCCGCCCACCTCACGCACCGCCTCGCGAACCTGCACCTCCTCGAGCTCTACGGCCGGCCCGCGTGGCTGGCCGGCAACCAGCAGCTGGAGGCCGTCCTGCGCGCGCTGGAGCGCGAGCTCGAGGTCCGCAAGGCGGAGATCGACGCATGCGTGGTGGAGCGGAGGGCGGCGCAGGAGGGCGTCGCGGGGGAGCTGAGGGGCCTGGATGAGGCGTGGCGGAGGGGCGTCGGGAGGGTTTTGGAGACTGAGGTCGCGGCCGAGGGGCTGAGGAGGGAGGTTTTGGAGAAGAGGCGTGGAGGTGCGATGTGAGGTGGTGGTGATTGGGAGGGCAGAAAGAGGTACGAGAAAATGGACAGACAGATGATGATGGAGGGTAATGGAGGAGAGAGTGGCACGCTTGTCGGAGACGTTGAGATGGGAGAGGCGATGCGGTGGACGAGGGGAGGGGAGGGGAGGGCGTTGCAAGTGATGGATCTGGTGCTTGTATAGGATGGCGTTCTACGGAGTTGACATATACGGTTGAGCAAGATGTGCTCCCAGTTGTGATGTCGAATTTCAAAGCCAAACCTTCTATGCATGCTTTCATGCAAACAAATTTTGGGCAAGCTGGTCACAGGAGAGAGAGGAGAGAAGACGATGAGTACATCGCTTCGGTAGAATATGCCAAAACCATTGAAAAGTGTGATTGCGCTCTCTGCAGAAAAAAGGTATCCGAGCCACCGAGGCCAGTGGTTGTCATCTGCAACAACAAGCGAATGTGACCAATCTAACGCCTACCAATCATAAAGCCATCCCCAATGTCAAATCGTACCTCATCCCTTAAGAATTTTGCAGAGGATCCACATTTTCAACTCCGTGATCATACGTGGTCCTTCTCATGATGCTCTCGACAGGGCCCAAAAGTCTTTGGAAGCCATCCTTTCCAAGAGTAGCAACCTTGACCTCTGTTTTGCTCACAACGCTGGCCGCTCTGGGAGCGTCGTTAAGAAGAGCCAACTCGCCGAAGAAGTCGCCTTTTTTATACGACTTGACTGGGTTCTGGACATCCATCTTGTAAGCTTCGGCCTCACCACTCTCCAATAGGTAGAAGGCTTCTCCAGCATCACCTTCTTTGATGATCGTGGTGCCCGCGGGGAATTTCTGCGCCTCGAGAGCATCTGCAATCTTGGATCGCTCATACTTGGTCAAAGTCGAGAGAATGGGCACCTCCTCTAGGAAGCTCTCATACAGGCGGCGACGCTCGAAAGTTGAGTCCATTAGAATTCGGCGGAACGTAACGCGGTCGAGAGCCCACAAATTGCAGCCAGCTTCCACAGAGATCACAGTGGCCGCTCTCGGGGCGTTATACATGAGGGCCAACTCTCCAAATGAGCCACCCGACTCGATTGTGGCGACCTTCTTGCCAAGACCATCCGGGCCAGATTGCAAGGCACCCGTAGGATTGACGTACACTTCAAAAGAACCCTTTTCTACTACGTAGAAAAAGTCGCCCTGGTCGCCTTGTACAATGACCTATGTTGAATGTTAGTCGCGTACGTTTGTCGGATGACGAATAAACGTTCGGCAAGGTCATAAAAAGAAGAGAGGCTTACCTTGATGTCTTTGGCAGGAATCGGCTTCTCTACCAAAGCACCGAGTACTTGAGCACTTTGTTCGTCATCAAGATGGCTGAACAGGAAGTTTCCCGAGATTGACTTCTTTAACCGTAGTATCTGGTCGTCGGTCTTGGGATGGAAAGGAGGCGTCCAATTCTCATTGGAAGAAGCCGTAGGGTTGAGCGACTCGGCGGAGACCGATGTTCGTCTTCCCCAGCCGTAGTTGGAAGGGAATCCCTCTGAGCCCGTGTTCTTGTATGAAGATGGCGGGCCCACCTCTCCAGCAGCATCACCTCCAAACAGAGACCCAAGGGTTGTAGTAGGAGACTTTTCAAAGACAAAACTGGAGGCAGTCGGTGATGTAAGACCATCGTTCTCATCTTCCTCTTCAACTTTGCCAAAAGATCCAGGGGTCCCTTGTCCTTTTGCAGCAAATCCATCACCGCCAAATGGGTTGACATCTACGCCGAGACGGCCTGGGAATGTACTCCCGGACATTTTGCTATCCTTGGGAGCAGCCGACAAAAGGAATTGAGTGCGTTCGCTTACTGGGCGCCGTTCGAAGAAATTGGCGCAGGACTGGACGACGTGTGTAGGCTTCGAATGCAGGATCTCTTGACTGAGGGACTTAGTCTCTTTGAGCTGGGCAGGCGGCAATGGCATTCGACGGTATCGTCTGTGTCAGTGGTTTATGATCGCGAAGGTCAATGCCGGTCGCAAGTGATTGCAGATGCAATGCGGTGTCGTGTGGCGGAGAGTGAGGGGGTTGCGTATCAGGGTTCGCTGCAGCCTGAAGCTTCGCTGCAGCCTGAAGAACGAACAGGTTATTCAGTGAATGCTGAGATGAGAGACGCAATTCAAAATCAGATGGATGTTGGACTCACTGATCGCGAGGTAAGAGGGGTTAAAATTAGGGACCCCGAGTAATTTATGACTGCGAATCCAGTCTACCCGCATACGATAACACAGCATTAGCATTATACATTAGGGGATAGATGCTAAGAATGCGGATGAAGGAAAGGTGAAGAGACTCACCGTGTGTGTTGTAAGACAAACTCTACGACGGGGGGGGGGGGGGTAAAGAGTGAAAGGTGGAGGAGGAGCTTGGTCCGGTCCGGGAGATAGGAGTTGGCGGCTGTGGTTGGGTTTAGGAGGGGAAATGCAGGAATGATGGGCGAGTCCCGTGGCCCGGGCCAGGAGATGATCTGAGCTGGAAGCCGAACCTTTCGAAGGTTCCAAGACGGCTTCTAGAAGACGTCTAGAAGGTTTGTCTGCTCTGCATGCGGTCAGTCCTGAAAGTTGACAGTTGACAGTGACAGTGACAGTTGTTACAATAACAGTAGCAGTAACAGTAACAGTAACAGTAACAGTGACAGTGACAGTGACCGATTGTCAGCCGGTCTATCACATAGATATGAGACGCCGGTAGAGAAATGAGGGCAGGGCAGAGAGAAATAAGGGCAGGGTAGAGAGAAATGAGGGCAGGTTAGAGAAATGAAGGCACGGTAGAGCAATGGCAGGGCGGGGCGGGGCGGGGCAGAAGAGGCAGCCGCACCAACAATCAATATCGACTATTGTCTTGGGAATGGATTAAGTTGGCGCCTGTCCGCAAACTCACCTGGTCTGGCAAGGCACAATTATGCCAGATTGCACGCCGATTGAGAAGCCGTGGAGAGAAGAGCTGAAACTTGGCAATCGCTGCGTAGTGGTGGTGCTGGTGCCGGTGGTGCTGGTGGTGCTCGTGGTGCTGAAGATGGTCTGGGTGGTGACGGTGACAGTTGCAGGAGGTGGATTATTCTACGACCACGCTCATGGCCATGGCATGACGAGACTCGAGGAAGCAATGAGGTTGAGTGTAAACAAAGAACGAACAGCTGGATTATAACTTGGAATTCAGGATCTCTAGACTAGACTAGACTAGACTAGCCCCTCCTCTCGGATATACTTCATCCAGCAGACAAAGAAGAGGGCATGTTTCGCTATATTCTCTCTTCTAGGTCCTTCAATTTTTGGTGTCTCGTCTCGGGAGCCTTCCAGACATGCTCAGACTGGCTGGTAATCAGGCCTCCAGTACCATTCAATAACATTTTGGCGGATGAAAGATGGGGGCAGAGTCTGCGCCAGTCTCGGGAATGATCTGAACCCGTGGGAAGAGAGTGTGTGTATATTGGTGGTAGGGAAAGGTAATTAATTAAGTTATGCCGCCCATACCTGCCTGGATAACATACATACATGACTACTTTCATACGCGATCAACAATCGAACGAGAAGAATATGGTTGGTATATATCAAACGAACCAAATATCTTGTCAGATCCTTTAATATCTGTCCGAATCAGAGTCATGAGCAGATACCAACCAACCAACCAACCAACCGACCGACCGACCGACCGACCGACCAGCCGACCGACCGACCAACCGACCAACCGACCGACTACCGACCGATCAGCTGGCCTCCCTGGTGTTGATAGTACGAATAGGTACTGCTTCAAACCCAAGTCAAAGCCACTGTCCCAGGCTGATATTATGACGCACGCACGCACTCGACGACGCGATTCACACTAAGAACTAAGAAACGAAACATACGGAACTCAAACGACTACGTACGTAGTAGTAGTAGTAGTAGTAGTACGTAGTACGTAGTATTATTCTCAGTGCTATTATTATCTTCCCGGGCAGCTCAAAAAAGGGCTACCCTGGTCCTCAAAAGGACACTGCGTCATTTGTACCCCACTAGGGCTAGCAAAGCGAAAGTAAACGGTGGCTGGGAAGGTTTGTCGTACGGTAGGGGGGAGACAGAGGGAGAGAGAGAGAGAGAGAGAGAAAGAGAGAGAGAGAGTCTATTGAGGGCATGGCGGCAAATAATACTATCACTGTAGAATTATCTGTATGAAATGATGATATGAGACTGGGGAAGTAAGGTAAGGGTAGCTAAGTAGTAATTTGTAAACCCGCACACGTTTTGGACTGGGACTGGGGAAGCTCTCTGCTGCTTGCGGTACACACTACAGCAGCTCTCTGTGCGTAATACAGTTCTTCATGGGCTGGGCTGGGCTGGCTGGGCTGGCTGGGCGTGGCTAGGCGTGGCTTGGTTTGACTTCCGGAGCTCTCCATCTCGGCCCTCCCCTATTGCGATACGACACCGACACCGACACCAACACCGACACCGATACCGACATCAACAACGCAGAGTGCAGACTTGTTTCTCTTACCATCGAATTACTATCATCTCCCATCCAGGCCAGGCTACTGCGACAGGATAATCAGTCTCCCTTACGGTTAGTTGCACGTATCCATTATCTCCACGGGTCTCTGTTGTTGCACTACGCTACTCGTACGGAGCAGAAGCTGACAGAAACACCGCAAAAAGAGATTGGCTTCCGATAGCGACAACCCAACCTCCCGAATACCTCCTCGCCCTTCTCCCCTCCCCTCCCCAAAGTCGGACACAAAGCAATTTATCCACCCAGATCAGATCGCTCCTCTGTTGCGTGGCATCACTTTCGAGATCCCCCTTGATCGTCGCACATATTCTTTGCTGCGAAACAAATCTACTGTTGCCTCGCCCCCCCCCCCCCTCCTCCCCCCGTCGTCTCTCATCATGGGAAGCTTTGTATTCAAGTGGTAAGCTAGCTGCCCGCCCAGTCTCTTACCTCTGGTGCAGAGATCTCTACCTGCCCGCAGCGAATCACCCACGAACCTTCATAAATTGCTTTCGCGATGATTGCTATGCGCTTCCAATTACGTGACTGACGCTCCGTAATTAGGGACCACCCTGCCGAAGAGGTCTATGTTACCGGCACCTTTGACGACTGGTCGAAGAGCGAAAAGCTGGTGAAGCAGGGCAACTCTTTCTCCAAGGACGTTAGACTCCCCAGTGCGGCCGAGAAGATCTACTACAAGGTGCGTGGAGGAAATGCAATATGATATACTATACCTACCTACCCCCCTACCCCCCTGCCTTCATTTTTGCGCGCCTTCATCCACGGCCAGCGAAGTTCGAGCTTCGAGCTTCGAGCTTCGAGCTTCGAGCTTCGAACTTCGAGCCTCGGTCTTCTTCTTCTTCTTCTTCTTCGGTTCCTGGTTGCCAAGTGGTGTCTTGAAGATCTGAAGAAGAAGAGCCGCCAAAGCAGAACCACCCTGCAACCTCGGAGTGTCGCAAGCTTTCATCTGCGGAATGTGCGCTCGACCCTGCAGAAAGACTTGTTTATGACGCGGTTGCCCGACTTCTTCTATTGTTGCCACTTGGAACTCTCTGGGAGCGGTGAAGCTGCCAACTTGCCAAAGTATCAGCGTATCGCACGCTGTGCACGGTCAGCTGCGAGGCTGGAAAGGCGCAGTCTGGGAGCTAGTCATATTTGTGCCAGGACCACCCACGTCTCGGGTTCCAGGGCCATCCAGGCCTCGGATTCCCTCCCAACCCCGCTCGGAAAACCAGTGTAGGCAAGCTGGCAGGGTCCCTTTTAAAATCAACATTCATCCCAATCTCTGCACTGCATTGTTCACAATTGACTGGCACTTCATTCAAGACAGAACAATTCGCTAACATTCATTCTTCTTCTCACACAGTTTGTCGTTGATGGAAATTGGGTGACTGACCATACTGCTCCCCAAGAAAACGACGCGTCGGGGAATCTGAACAACGTCCTCACCACAGACCGAATCGTGAAGCACACCCCCGCCACAGCTGGAATCATGTCTGGGGTTACTCCGACCTCGACAACCGCCAGCCTGGCAAAGGATGTACCTCTCGAGAAGGAGAAGGCTCCTCTCCAGAACACTGGCTCCTCCGAATTGCCAGGAGCTTTCCCTGAGACGCCCGGGGCTGTTGAGAGGAAGGAATTCTCTGTCAACCCACTGCCCGCTGCAGATGGTGCCGTCAACCCCATAAAGCTGGCGCCTGGTGAGAAGGTCCCCGATCCAAGCACCTTCACCAACAACACAATAACCTCAACTATCCGTGACGATCCTGAGCTTGTTGCGGCAGACAAGGCCAAGACCGAGGGCGAGCGCACCTTCAGTGTCAACCCACTCCCAGCTTTCGCCGGCGCCGTCAACCCCGTAAAGTCCACGCCCGGAGAGAAAATTCCTGAGCCAAACACTGTCACTCGCAACACCATCGACTCATCAGTCACCACCGACAAGGAGACGTATGAGAAGAGCGGCGGGCTTGGAAAAGCTCCTGTTCTCCCACCTGTTATCACCCCTGCTGCGGACAGAATCTCGAACGGCACTGGTGTTCTCGATATGCCTCCTGCGATCGGGCTGATCCCAGAATCTAGCTTGCCAATGGGCTCTTCAGGTATCGGCACATTCGATGCCAGCCCTACTATTCAATCTGTCGGTCCATCAAGCACCACTGCCGAACTTGCCGCAGCAGTACCTCTCGAATCCGCTAAGGTTCCAGAGATTGTCAAGGGAAGCCAGGAGAAGGCACACGTTGAACCCGAAGCCAGCGCTATTCCAGAAGAGGTCAAGGAGAAGAGCGCAGTTGAAAAGGAGCTTCTTAAGGAGGTACCAGTTGCGCCATCTACATCTGAAGGCACTGCAGGAAAGGGTACAGACAAGTCTGAGAAGAGTGTCACTGCAGGTGAGGCCGCGGCTGCAATTGGTGGCGCAGCCCTGGCTATTGGGGGTGCTGCTACTGTTTACGCATCCGGCGCTGCAAGCAACCTTCCAGATTCTGTGACTAGCAAACTGCCCGAATCCGTCCAGAAGTCGATTGCGTCCATCAATGCGAAGGCCGATACCACCCCTCAGACTCTCGCTCAGGATACACCAGAAATCGTCAAGGAGTCGATTGCCGAATCCGGCCAGGCACCAGAGGCTGCTGCGAACGAAGAAGCTGTGTTGGAAAAGAAGGCCGTGGAGAAGGAGCTGCTGTCTGAGGTCAAGCCTGAGACATCCACCGGCGACTCTGCACCCAAGATCGCATCTTCCGAACCAAAGAGTGCCCTCGCTGCCCCAGCCGGAGCTCCCGCTGCTGCTGTGTCACGTGACGTCTCCCCTGGAACCGTCCCAGGCTCGCACAGCGCTGCGAATCAGACTGCACTAGTAGTTACCACAGGCATCGCCAGCGCTACAACCGACGAGGTTTCAGCCGCATCCGCCCCCGTTTCTGCAGCCAAAGATGCCACTGCTCAACCCGTCTCTGCCCCAGCGAAAGATGTTTCTACCCCAACAAAAGAGACTGAGGCACCATCTACTCCATCCAAGGACACCCCTGGAGGCAGCAAGGCAGCTGATAGCCCCGGCAGCGTATCCACTGCCGAAAAGAAGAAGAAGAATCGCCTAAGCTTCTTTGGTAAGATCAAGGCCAAGCTTCACAAGGATAAGGAACCAAGCTCTTCTTCTTGAAGCTCCGTACGCCGGGAGAAAGAAGGAGCGTAGTAATTAACCTGGGGCTCTCGGATCCGGACCCCGAGTGTACGATATTGAAAGCGCGCTTTCGCAAAGGTCTTTAATCATGGAGGTGTGACCTATGGATGTGCGCCGAGGAGGGACAGTTGTGTTTTCCCTTGGTGCCGAGAGAACCGGTTACCCAAATTGCTTACTTGCACGTGTTTTGCTCTGGGAGGTCACCATTCCTGCTTTTTTAAACTCTGCTTTCCCAATACCAAATGTCCTTTTTCTTTGATCCTCCTGCGTGCATCAATCGTCGTTATGGGTAGGGGGGGGATGGAGGTGGGGGGGGAGGGGAGAGAAGTGTGAGAAGAAGCAAAGGGACGGACACTTTGGCCCTGGTGACTGCGCAAACCCGCTTGGAAAAAGTGTGTAAATAAGAAGTGGAATAGCCGTTGGTAGTGGGAAAGCCTACTGGTCTTTTTGAAACCAATGAATGCTATTGCATTTCGATGAGATATTTGTCGGCGTTCCTCGTTTCACATGGATTGGTCTGTTCCATTAATGATCATGTAGGCGTGGGTAGCAGTGTGCTCTTTGATTTGAGCGACGACCTTCCATTCCCGTCTCCCGAATCGACCATCAGCATCGACTTTTGAAACCCCTCTTCTTCCAAAAATGATCCAAAGTGAGCAGCGATTGCCAGCCAGCCAGTCGTCTGTTCGTTTGTGGTGTCTGGGTATATTATACAAGGTCTTGCCTCTGGCCCCGGAGCTTGGTGCGAGGCTGCCTTCCGCATCGATTTTCTATAAGAAATACTATTTAAAAGGATGTAAAAAAAATATGACGCTTTAGCCCGGCCGCAAGCTAAAACTTACGGCCCTTCGCAAGCTCCGAGGTAAGTTTTCCGGACTTCGCGGTGTAATATTCGTAGCTATATAATCTATAATAATAGCTTCTTTTAGCGTGATGCAGCTAGCTATCTTTTGAATATTTATACAGTCTTTTTTTTATAGAATAGCCTTTTTCCGCGCGATGCAACCAGCTACTTTTCGAGCATTCAACTTATAGCAATAGCTCTTTTCAGCTCGGTGCAGCCAGTTACAGCCCTTTTCAGCCCGATGTAATTACTTAAGTATCTTTTAAGCATTTAATTTGTAGCAATAGCCCTTTTTAAAGCGATATAATAAGCTGGTTTTCGAGTTCTTTTTTTTTT